GTCAGGGGGCTCAGGGTGACCAGTTGGAGAAGCTGGAGTCTCCACAGGGCCTTGAAGGAGTTTGGATAAAGGAAGGGGGGTGGGCAGGAAGAGGAGGAAACCCTAACTGGAAGGGGGCCAATGGGAAATCAAAGTCAAGCTGAATTATTTTGTTTCTCATTTACTTCTCTGTCCCTGTGCTGCCAGGGCTATAGCTCAGTGGCACAAATGCCTGCTTTAACACCTGCACTCTGGGCTCTGTGGAGGCACCTGGATAGTGCAGAACAAGGCAGATCTGGGGTCATTCTTATGAAACTTACACTCTGGAGTGGAAGACAACAACTATGACAATAAAGCACCACTGGGTCAGCGGGAGAGGTGCAGCTTGATGAGGACGTGCCTCAGGGTGGGCTTCCTGGAGGGAGCACGCCTTCTTCAGATCCTCCCCGCAGGATGGTCTGGAGTTTGTTTGCTATCACACCAGGTTTTGTGATTACTTAGTTCAGAGATTGCTTTTGTCATCCCTGTCCAATTCTTTAATTCATTGACTTACACGAAGGAGAAAGTCACTTGCACTAGAATTCTTGCCCAGCTCCCTTTACAGGCTAGAGAGCAGGCTCAGGCGTGCTCTGCAGGCAGCAGGTGCTGGAGTAAGAGCCTGCGTGGCTTTCCTTGTTGTCTAATTGCCTCTCTAGAGTTACAGAGGGGTACTGACTTTCTCATCCCCTGGAATGGATACGATTTCCTTTTAAAAATAATCCAAGAGGGGCTGGGGATTTAGCTCAGCGGCATAAGTACCTGCCTTGCAAGCAGGCAGTCATGACTTCAATCCCTGGTACTGGTAAAAATAAAAAAAAAAAAATAATATTCCAAGTGGCCTGGCATGGTGGTGAATATCTGTAGTTCCAACCCTCGGGAGGCTGAAGCAGAAGGATTGCGTGTGTTCAAGGTCAGCCTGGGCTACCAAGTGAATTCAAGGTCAGCCTGAACTGCATAGTGAGACCCCATCTCAAAAAGACCAAAAGTATAAGACTCAAGAGTAGGTTTTTCCCCTTGTCCTGGAACTGACCAGTGGGTCAGTTCACAGTAAAAAGGCACAAAGTCCTCCTCAGTCCTGGGGCCTGCCTCCTTCCTACACCGACCACCACTATACCCATCCCCCAGCCCCAACACACACGCAAGACTCTGGAAGAGCTGGGGTTAGGCAGAGAGCAACTGAGAGGCAGCAGATTCAGGATTGGTACCAAGGGGCCTCCCTCAAGGAATCCAAATATAGCAATGGCCAGTGGTGAGCTACAAGTTCCTATTCCCTGAATCAAGGTTCTGCAATCAACCAGTTTCCAAAGTACAATATTCAAAGAAAAACGTTCCCATCAAAGAAATGGAACTTAAGAGGCTGAGGTTTCTGAAACTGACTTAGGAGGAAAAGCCCATTCAGACAGAGGTGACAATTCTCTGATACCCACTAGGATTGGCAGGTGATGGACAGGGAAGAGCTGGGCCATCAAGACCCAGAGTACAAAAGCCCCAATCCAGAGGATCTGGAGGGGGTGGTCAGGGTGGCCTCCAGAAGAGGCGATTCTAACCTGAAACCTGCCAGGAGACCAGGAGCTGTCCTGGTGCTGGAGAGTGGGATTCACACAGCAGGTGCCCTTGGTCTGCTGGTGGGGCTCAGACCTCGGCTCAGGCGAGTACTAAGAGGGCCCAGTGTCCCTCGGTTTGGTTCTGATAGCAAATGTGCCATTCTCCTCCCTCTCCCAACCTCACTGGATGTCCCCGAGGGGTCCTTGGGGGCCTGGATAGTGCTGGACTTCTGAGACCTGCCTCACCTCCTGCCTGCTGTGCCCTGAAACACAGCATCCAGGTAGCACAGCACACCCCTGGGTGGCTGGTCCGATCCACTTGGAGCCTAGATTACAGGGACCTACTTCCCAGCCAGCCCCTTACTCCCAACTTTTCCCAAAGGCCTTTCTTCTCGAGACTGCATTTTGAATTTTCCGCAGCAAGACGGTCCTTGTGGAGACGGCCTTGCTGAAGGTCAGGCATCCCCTCCCCTCCCTCGCTTCCCGCCCAGCTGGGCTGCGGGCTGGGCGCTCACCTGGCTCCAGGGTGCCGGGCGCCCGCTGCTCTCCGCTCTCTGTGGTCTCACAGGCATAGTGCCAGGGCTGGCGCCTCGCTGTGCGCTCCGCCGGTCCACCGAACTGCGGGAGCCCGAGGCGCGATCGCTCACTGGTGTGTGGATGTAAGGGACAGCAGGTTGTCCGGGCGGTGCAGGTCACTGGGGAGAGCTCGGCCTTGGGAAGGGCTGCCCTGCGCTGTTCCTGGGCACTAGGAGCTCGCAGGAGCCAGAGGGTCCGGAGGCTGGGAATCCCTTCCCGCCCCTTTGCGGTCGGGAGGTGGGGAGCAGGTGGTTGATTTTTGCCTCCGCCAGCTCAGACCGAGCTTGGAAAGAGGAGGGCATTTCTGAGCTCTGCAGAGTCCCTCCCTTCCCAGGCGTTGCCTGAGTCCTGCAGGGACCACCGCCCCTGGGCTCTGGCTGATCTCAGGCTGCCCACTCCCAGGTGGTGCCTGTAGCCTCACTGCACTTCTGAGCCTGCTCCCTAGAGAAGGCTAAGCGGGGAGAGAAGCCAGAGACAATTTCCCAGCTCCAGACTGTGGCAGAGAAGCCCATCCGGGCTCCTCCAGGGCACAAGCTAAGAGCAGCTGAGCCTGGAGCAGGTGGGATGCTCTGCCCGTGACACCCCAGCCTGCATTATCAGACACTTAGAAACCGGTCCCCTTGTCCCACCCCTCTCCTGGCCACTCTGGGAGGGCAAAAGTGAGAGGGAAACTAAGACCCAGCTGCACCCGCGCAGCTGCTCATCCCGACTCGGGTTAGGGCAGCCGCTTGGCTAAGTGCCCCTGCCAGCCTCGCCTCCCTCATCCTCCTCCTTCTTGGCCATTTCTTCTGGCTTCTGTCCCCTCGGGGTAGCGGAGGGGCTCTGACTTGAGACAGCAGGCTGGATTTCCACGAATTTTTGCAAGCCAGTTATTTACAGGACTATTATTGACAGGGAATTTACATAAATTTACAAGCAAGTAACTTTTACTAAAAGCAAAGGTCGCACTGAAACACTCAACGCTTCTATTTAACTAGTACCTATGCCTTAGGTTATTTACAACACTGCATCTGAACGGTGGGGAGGTTATAGGGTTCTCCTCACCCTGAGCTAAGTGACTTCATTCTGGCAGCTTGACGCCAGCCGTGCAGAGTATTTACACCTCAGAAATGGGCAAATGTTACATTCAGGGCTTGACTTAGGCTCTAGATTTAAGACTGTGACAGAGAAAATTTTACTATGGTAAATTTAAAGTGGGTTGGGCAAATCTTACAAAATGAGTCGTATCTCAATTTTATTTTAGGGTTTAGGTACTGGGTCTCAAACTCATGACCTCATACTTGCCAGGCAGGCGCCTGTGCCACTGAGATAAATCCCTAGCCCCTATATCTCAATTTTAAATAAAACATGCCATATCTGAGGTCATTACAGTGTAAATGGCACAAAAAAAATGAGGGAACATTTGTCCAGTGTTCAGAAGCCACTTGGTTCAGCAAAGTCCATCGTATCGATGAAAGAAGTCTGACACAGGTCTTTTTGGCTTGTTCCCCTTTCATTTGCTTGGTAACACAGAAAACATCAGCAAACATTCACGCCGGGTCATTTATCATGCATAGGTTGCATAGATAGATTAGCTATAGATATAAAAGGGCAGTAGAAATCAGTGGGCTTGTGAAAATCAATGGTTGTATTAATTTTACAATGAAATGTATTATTGTACAATGTACATTGTTATATATCCCTTGTGTCAATAGAATTTATATACACACCCCAAGGGCCAGGATGCTAAGGTGTATGCCTTGCTCTTCTCGGCTTTCTAATGTCCTCACCAAGGAAGCCCTTTTTGGTCTACAGATGACCTTTCTGCAGCCAAGAGATCACCCCTGAGATGTAGGCATGAGAATCCATCACCACTTGGGCACCTAACAGACACCACACGTCATCCCAATGCACAGGAGCTGCAAGTTGGGGCCTCAGGCCAGGGACCAGCGGTGCTGTCATCACATGGGACTGGCTGTGGTCTGAGCTGAAAGCACCTGGAGTCATGGACAGGATACTGGGTGGGGGGGGGGCAGAGGTGGCAAATGTCCACTGAGTATCAGGGTAGCCGTGGTGAGATGGGAGACGGAGGCCCAGCTTTGGGAGGGTGTGAGTCAAGTGTTGGACATTTTGACTTGGAGGCGACTTTGGGACATCCGAGCTGGACACACACAGAGGTAGAGTTCCACGGAGCTGGGATTGGAGATGGTGGCCTGCAGCCTCTTGGAAAGTCAGTAATTAGAATTGTCAATGTGCACTAGCTTGTCCAGGAGCCTAGGGGTGATGAGATGGCTGGGAGTGTCTGGAGGTGAGCCCTGCGGAGGCAGGGTGTGGCTACCACGGAGGCCCAGGGAGGGTGCTTCCAAAAAGGGTCACTTAGGGTGAATGCACTGGCTAGTGACCACAAAGGGTAAAATGCCTTGGCCACTGGTGACTTCAGCAGAAGCTCTCTTGCTAGAGGGCCCCAAGGTCCTGAGCAACCTTTGGAAAATCAAGCCAAGCTGTCCCATTAGGCAAATTCCATGTTGAAAGCGACTCAGCTGGGCCGGGAGTGGAGCTCAGTGGCACAGCTTTTGCCTGGCCTGCCTTGGATGTGTGAAGCCCTGGGTTAAATTCCCAGTTTGGTAGTGAAAGGGAAACATGTGGTTTATGCTGACTTAAATGCAACAGGGGGTGGACAGGGTGGAGGTGGGGATCTGTGTAAGAAACTGTGCTCTTCACATTTGTCCCCATCAGTTGCAGGGCAGCTCTGTGTACCGACTGGCAAAGCCAGACATGGATTCCAAGGCCGAGGAGGAGACCTGTGCTCAAGCACAGAGCCTGAGCTCTCTGCAGCCTGCTCAGTGCTCCCAAAAATGTGCAGTGAGGAAAGCCAGGACTCACTTCTATTCCATTCTGCTTTATTACAACCCTGCCCTTGTGTTCCAGAACAAATGGCTATTTAAATACAACCCAAAATACTCCTACAATGGATCCTGTCAACATTCAAGTCTCATTTCTTCCTCAGCCCATTAAATCAAAAGAGAAAAACAATCTTTAAGAAAAAGTCAATAGGTTTAGTCCATCCCAGGAAAAGCACCTTTACAATAGGAAACTGTCAGGAATCTGACCAAATACACAGAGCAGCAGGTAAGATTCCTGATACGAAGGAAAAACCCTATAAACAGAACATAAATAGACCCCCCAAGAATATATATTTTACGAGTGTATACACACATTAAGAAATATATTAAAAAGACATTTGGTTTCTACTCCAGAGTTATTCAGAAACAAACCGACATCCCATCTGAGAAGGGGGAAGCTGGGCGCGGCAGCCACGTCACAAATCAAGCATCACCTTGCTTGTGGACAGCTTCCCCGTGTGCCACACCTGCTGGGCCAGGGTCGGGGCGCCCCTCTGCCGCATGCCCCAGGCCTGACGGATCCAGTGTTTGTAGAAAAGTGACAGAGAAGGCTGGGAAGTCTGGCCCCTGGAAGCCACCATGCAGAGGCCAAGAGCCAGCTAGAGGGAGTCAGGGGCCCAGAGCCACCCACAATGGCTTGAAGGCTCCCTTGGCCCTGGGGTGAAGGGCAGCTTTGACCCCAGGGACAGGATGGTAATACTGCTGGCTTTTAACAGCTCCTGATGAGCTCTGCTCATGGCCCTCCAGATCTTGATAATTTGGCAAGTCTGGGCTTCCCCTGGGAAGTGAGGTTTCCAGAGCCACCAGGTGAGCCCACCTGTGAGCGTGGTGTGTGCGTGAACTTGTATGTCTTTGTGGAGGTCAACAGGTTGAAAATGAGTGTTCTACCAGGGCCCACTCAAATAGTGTCTGCTGTGGGTAAAGTGGGCTTTATCATTGCATTCTAAGTGGTCCCCCTCTAAGTGGATTTGTTCAAAGGACTCCAGCTGCTGGAGACGTGGAAGACATGACACACACCTGGAAGAGTTCCTCTTAGGACTTGGCACAGTGTTTTCATCTACAGGACAAATAGGACAGTTGCGTGGGAACCCTCTCTCCATTCTAAACCCTTTCCCGGCACCACAGACAAACAGGAGGAAAGGCCACGGGATCAGAAGGTGTGTCAGTAGTTTAAGGTTTGGGAGCTGCTGACCCACCAGACAGTCACACACAGCCGTACTCGTACCACACCGTCTGCTGGTCCCCGCCTGGCTCTGGGGACGCTGGGGTGCTCTTCGAGCTGCCTCCACGGCTGAAGTCCTCAGGGCCCCGGCTGGTATGGGGAGCCGAGTCAGGCACCCTACTAGGGCCCTTGGCCGGGAGCCCCTCGGTGTGGCCCTGCCCCGGGTTCTTGTCTCCCTCTGAGATGCTGAGCCCAGCCCGGACAGGGGCAACGGTGGCTACTTCCCCTGAGTGTGGAGCCACTTTGGGCTTGGTCCTGGAGGCAGCGGCCGCAGCAGGCGAGAAGTGCTGGAGCTGGGAGCTGCTGCCACCGCCGCCCGTGGCGGTGGCCAGGGCTGGGACTGTGGCGGACTGCTGCAGGGGTGCTAGCCTCTCCTCCTTTGGGGGAGCCAATGAGAAGCGCCTGGTATCTGGCGGCCGGCTGTGGGGTCCACAGGAGCCATCAGCCTTGCCTGCCAGTGGGGTCCGCTCCCGCACCAGGCTGTGGGAGCTGGGGGGTGCGAGGCTCTGCAGGCTACCTGTCTCTCTGCCCCCTGAGGCCTCAGGACCCCCCAGTTTCTGAGGGGATTCTTGTCTGCAGGCCTCTGGCCCGCTGGCCCGGAGAAGGTCGGCAGAGGCCAGGCTGTAGGCGCGGCTCAGGGATGTACTCCGGCTGGCAGCGGGGTGGGAAGCAGGGGACACTGTGGCTTGCCGGGGTCTGCCCAGAGACAGGCTCTGGGGAGGCTGGACCTGTCTCGGGGAGGCTCCTGCCGGAACCTCTGCTTCAGTTGGTCTGAAGTTCGGCTTCACATATTGCCCGGGCTTTAGCTGCCTCCCCTCGGAGGTGCTGATGGCCATCTTGATGGTGGGGGCCACGAAGCTGGTGGGCATCTTGGCTCCCTCTTTCCTGGCAGGAGGTCCTGGTGGGCCTCCGACGGCCGGGGGATCATTGGCCTTTCGGAAGTAGTCACTGAGCAGGTCATCCCGACAGCTGGGAGTGTCCTAGAGAGGAGAGAGGAAGAATGGAGAGTGGGAAGTGGGGTCCTGGGGGCCTCCTCCCCCAGGGTGCACAAGGCCCCCACAGCCAGGACGGAAGTTTCCTGCCCCTGCTCAGTTCTCCAGAGCAAGGCCCCAAAAAGGGTCAGGATGGTCAGAGGAAAGAACCCCAGCAGCCACGCAGGTGGCCTGCTAACTTTATAAATAAGGAAACAGGTCCAGAGAGGAAAGGGTTTGACCACAACTGTTTCAATGTTTCTATTTTTTCCACCATGCAGAGTAGCAGCTAGAAAGCGACTGCTGTGACCGGGACCCAGCAGGCTTGGGAACATCAGGAGGACAAGGAAAGACCTGTGCTTGGGGAGCCAGAATCCTCACTGTCACCCTGATCTTTCTCATGCTCTGAGAAAAGGAAGAGACAGGTAGAGGGGAGAGGTGCGGCCAGGAGCCAGAGGCAGAAGGCCCAGCAGGAACGGTGAGACTGCACAGGAAGGAAGCGCACCAGGACAGTCCAGGTGACAGACCTGTCTCATTAGACTGCTGCCTCAGACTCTGCTTCCCCTGCCCAAGGAGCAGGTGTCCTTTGCCTCCACCCTGGAAGACCAGGTCTCTGACTGCTCAGCCACTGCCAGCATGGCAGAGGACAGTCTAAGCAGAGCAGCCTCCCAAGGCTGATGGGGTCGGGGAGGTCGCGTAGGTGGGGTCAGAGGCTGCCCACTGATGGAGTCAGGTCCTGGCCTGCTGTGACCTGTTGGGGTGTCACGGTGGAGCTGTCTGAAGCTGCCTGGGCTATTTGTTTGGAGCCTTCACATCTTCTCGTTCTTCAAGAAAGAAGTAACACTTGGAAAGTCTCATTGCCCTTCTGTGCTATGCAACACCAGAACTGCTTAGCTCGACTGCCCTCCCTCCTCCCCCACTCCACTCCCTGCCCTGGTCATCATCTGGTCTACTTGCTTCTCCTATGACACCAACTGTTTTGGTTTCTACAGCCAAGTGAGACTACGTGGCATGTGGATCAGCACACTCTCAAGTCTCTGACACCTTCAGGCGTCCACCACCTCTGGCCACCAAGGGAGCCCCAGCATCACTAACCCTCAGGGAGCAGGGACATAAGGGGGGCCCTGCTGTCACTTCTCCGGGTTGACAGGTGTAGTCTGCCTCAGGAGTCTCCTTGGGGAGGGCAGTATCAGGTGCACGGGGTGGTAAGGCTAGTGGGGACCAATGTCCTAGGGAGTGAAGGGGGACGAGGACCATATTGTATGCTTCTATGAGGTTTTACAGGCAGTGCCAACCTGCTTTCCCACAGGAGGCACCATGCACACTGCAGGCGTTCAGTGAACACTCAGAGCTATGTCACCATGCCGTTTGCACAGGCTGTAGTTGACTATATGACCAGATGAAGTCTAGGTGTGTTTATTTAAAGAGTGTGAGCTGGAAAGATGGAAGAATTAAAATGCAACACTGTCATTCAAACAAGGTGAAGACAGCATACTGCCATCACTTGATCGCCCAAGAGCTCATCTTACTGAATTCAGACAGAGCACATCCAGATGCAGAGGCAGTATACACTGTGCACAGGTGGCAAGGGGGGTCTGTTAGTGGGTGGACATGGGGTGTGACAAGCAGATCAGAGGTCAGCACCATGAGAGCTGGGCCCAGCTCCATGCCTGTTCTCCCACAGTCTATGAACTAAGAGTTTTTTATTCCCAAATTGCTCAACAAAAAGTCACATCTCCGCACTCAGGAGGGTGAAGCCAGAGGATCAATGCTAGTTCGAGGCCATCCCAGGCTATACAGTAGATTCGGGACCAGCATAAAATACACAGCAAGACCCTGTCGTAACAAAACGAAGTAGTGCAATTGAGAGATGGAGCCCTTGCCCAGCATGCATAGGAGCCTGGGATAGATTCCCAGAACCACTTAGAAAAAAAGAACAAATGAAGGGCTGTTCCATGATATGGAAATCACATGAAACTTAAATGTTGGTGTCCGTAACACAAGTTTTACCAGACAGCGACCAGTTCATTCTCTTGCATGTGGGCAGTATCTCTTTTCTCTACAGTGGTGGAGTTGAGTACTTGCGACAGAACTACAGGCCCAGAAAGTCTAAAACATCTGCTCCCTGGCTTTCCCAAGGCCTTTCCAAGCTTGCCAACCCCTGCGGGAAAAGATGCAGGGGACAAGGCAGTCAGCGCTCTGCCACAAACCGTGTGAGATTCGGACCTGCAAGTGAACTTCCGGTCACACCCTTCCCTTGGTGTGGGCATCGCTTATGCCAGCTCACACTGCAGCCCTTGTTCTGTGGGGACTGATGGTGACTTGCTGGACCATGGGTCTAGATATCCGGCCACAGCCAAGCTGGCCCGCACCAAGGCCTTACCACACCGCCCCATCCCCAACTCCAGCCTTGAGTCAGGAGACAGAAGACCCGTGGCGTCCTCCCATGCCTGGCCACTCACGTGGGTGGGGGAGCTGCGGTTACTCTCCTCCAGGAACTCCTCCAAGGTGACCATCTCACTGCTGGGGGAGGCTGAGCAGGGCCGCACTCCAGGTTGAGCTGTGATTGGGGCTCTCTTCTGAGCAGTCTCATGGGGGACAGGTCCGTTCCGGGGTGGGGGGTACTCATGGCGGGTGAGGGCACTGCGTCCCAGGGTGCTGGGGTCCCTGCTAGGGATCAGGTCTTCACTGCTGAAGCTCTCGGAGCAGCCGTGGAGCTGGTCGGAGGAACCTGGGCAGAGACAGGAACATGCATGTCAGTCCAGCTCCCTCTGCCGCTGATGGGCACCCGGCACCGTGCTGCCTCCCGCTCTCTCAGAACCCAGGTCCCAGAAAAGGCTGCCCCAAATGCAGGGCCCTCGATTAATGCTCATGGACTTTTGGGGAACCTCTCAGCACTCTACCTTGGCCTTTAAACGTGAACTAACATGAGAGGAAATTTAAATGTAAGAAAGTCTTAGGAAGAAATTCCATCCCCCGGTACTACTAACGATTTCTCTTGGGTCACAAAATATAGAAGCTATAAGTACAAAGTATTCATACTGAGGTGCAGACAGTACACTGGAGTTTGCCCTGTATAAAATATGGACAGCTTCATTCATCTGGGTGTCCTCCTTGCCCCAGGGCCACACAAACCTCCTCTGCATCATTCTCATTTTGGTGCTGCTGGCGTGAGCACTAAAGTGTGAGTTATTAGCAGCTATCACACTCGCTAGCCCTCATCCATCTATTACAAGTTTAATTACCACATGCTAGGTCAGTCGATGGCAAACCTTTTAGGTCTTTCAATGATACAAACAGCATGGGTGCCACAGGTTCGCCACCACTGTGCTAAGCACTTTTCCAGGGGCCATGTGGAAGCTAAGGAAAAAAATCTTTTTAAGAGTTTACAGTCCCAGGGAAAGAGGGCACATGACAGCACACAAGTTCTTCCAAACACACAGGGCTCGTTCATGAAGACAGATCGTAACCTAAACCAAAAAACAAACTTTACCATATTTAAAAGAATTGAAGTCTCCTGCACTTGCTCTCTGACCACATGGGGAAGACACAAATGACCCTGTCTCCGGGCCAGGATGATGTAGCCTACAGAGGTCTATCACTCACCCATGTCCTCAGAGCAGGGAGCAGAAATGATCTGAACTAAATCCCCTCAAACTCACCACCTGCGCTTGAAGTCATACCGAGTGGCCGATGGATGCCCCTGCTAGTCTTGTTAACCAAAGTTTTTAATCTAATGGTAACACGAGCCCGGAGCCAAGCACCCAAGTCCCTGTTTCAAGGCCTCGGTGAGGGCTGCCCTACCTTTGAGGCTCAAGGGCGAGCTGTTGCTGGATGCGTTTCTGCTGCTCTCCAAGCTGCTGGGCCGAGACACTGAAAAGAAACGATGATATTTGACGTAAGCAGCCAGGGGCTACGTAGATCCCAGGGGCAAGCACCTCATCTGAGAACAGCACATAGCCAAAGCGACTCTGTGCCTAAGTGAGGGTCAGCACCCTCAGGAAGGAAGAACTGGGGATCCTCTGAATGCCTCCCAGAGCAGTTTAGTGGCATCGACAGAATGCCAGGCCTGGCAGGGTGTGGATGACCAGCAGCTTTGGATTTTTTTTGTACCAGGGATTGAACTCACAACCTCATGCTTGCCAGGCAGGCGCTCATGCTGCTGAGCTAAATCACTGGCTGACGAGCAGCTCTGGCTGTCAGTTTCCACTACGTAGAGAGCTGCAGCTTAAAACAACTTCGGGGCTGATCCAGAGAAACGCAGACTGCAGTGATCGCTACTGCAGTGATAGACACCTTAATGCTTGTAGTGTTTACTGTTTCACTGACTCTGCAGGCCTGAAGCCCGTGTTCTGATCACCTATTCAGAGGATAACAACACACCGTGTAGCATCTAGGGGGGATCTCCTTCTGAAGGTGGTGGCCACTGTTAATTCCCTATTATCTTGCTTTAAAGCCCTGTATCATTTTCATTGTTTTATTCTGTTTTGTCTTGATTTTATTATAGCTGATGGCATAGGCAGCTACTCCAAAGAACAAGATATATATGGTAGCCATTTTGGATTTATTGTTGTCTTGTTCTGAGTCCTGTATTGTGTTTACTGTTTTGTTTTTATTGGTTCTTTCCATTCTGCTTTGTTTGATTTTACCATGTCTATGGGCAGCTATTCTGAAGACAAGAGGCATTATGGTAGCCATTGCTGATTTCCTATTACCTTGTTTTGAGCCCCTGTATCACTTACACTGCTCCGTTTTGATTGGCTTTATTCTGTTTTATTTTGCTTGGCTTAATTCTCTTTAAAATAGAAAAGTATAAAAATAAATAAATAAACCCAATCTCCCCGAGCCCAGTACAAAAAGCAGAGCACAGCTCTGGGTAGACTGAGGGGAAGGTGGGGGCACCCACACTACTGCACGGGGCTTCTCAGGACACATGTGACCAGCCCCTTCCAAGACAGGGATGAGCAGCTTTCCAGGACGGTACATGCACACATGTATACCTGTCCAAACATGAGCCTGTGCGTGGTGTGGTATCCCTGCTGGTGACCCCAGGGAAGGGTGTCGGGACCCTAGGATGAAAAGGACCAGATGCTTCTCCTGGTTGTCTGCCATTCATCACCTCCTTTGCTTCATTTGCCTCAAATTTAGCTACATCCAAAGGGAAAACTCAAGGCTCCATGACAAGGGTGGAGGGCACATAGTCCTCCTGGCTGCCGTGGGCGCTGCCCAAGTGGGACTGCTTGGCGCTGCCCTGCTGCAGACCCCAGGAAACCAGATGCCACCCCTGCCAGGGTCTATGGACCTCTCGTGGCTCCTCCTCCAGCCACCTGCCCCAGTCATAGTGTCTCGTGAGCTGACAGCTGTCCTGCTGGGCTGAGCCCCTGGGGGGCCAAGGACAGTGTTTCAGTCATCCTATGAACCGGCCCAAGCAGGTGTCAGGTGGACCCACCAGGGAGCCAGCAGAAACACCAGACACCTGTGCTGGGGCTCCAGGGAGGAGCCACTCAGGCCTCCCGAGTCTACAGGGCACCCAGGTCCCAAGTGCTGACGGGCTCTGCAAACGGCAGGCATCTGGAAAAGACTGAGCACACGGTGCGTGGGGATGAGCCAAGAAAGACTTGGTGCTCAGGGACAGTGAAGCAGCAGCGAGTCCCCTGAGATGGGAAAATCGAGAATAAACAAATGCGCATCACTCTGGAAAAAGGCAGTAAGTGTCACTATGAGGATGCGGTGATACAAATCCACAGCCCCCAAATGTCACTGCCCTGCAGATCCCCTCCCTTCCTTCTTGTGATGAGAGGCTGGAGGCAGACACTTTGGGAGATGCCCTGGCCATGCGGTGAGATGCCCCAAGTGAACATGGTGGCTTCCTCCTGTCCTGTGGCCTCCACTTGGAGCAAGGACAGAAGGGAGTCCCTGGGGCAATGGCCTCACTGCAGGGCCTGTGTGGACTCAAAGAAACCGTAAGTGTCTAACTTGTGTGCATCAGTGCGAACACCTTCACACTCTGACCCAGCGGGCAGGGCAGGAGATCACGCTAGCGCCCATGCTTCCAGCCAGCGCCTCTGACGTGCACCGAATCCAATGTAAGGAAAAACAAAACTATTTAAGGATTACTTTCCTAGCCTTTGAGGGTTGCTTTTCAAAAATTGAGGGCTGGAGAAGAGCTCTGTGCCTTCCAAGCATGTGTGAGCAAGTGGGTTCAATCCCTGCATGCAGGAATAGGAGGAGGAGGAAGGGAAGGGGATGAGGAAAAGAAAAGCAGGAGGAAGAGGAAGAAGGGAAGTGGGAGGGGAAGGAAGAAAGAGGGAAAGTCTAACCCAAAGCAACCTATAAATTTTGAGGAGCCTGGGGGGTCATTCAGCATTTCCACTTCTGCAGAACTTCACAGTATCTTAATTTAAATGACGTGCGTTCCTAACATTTTCTAAGACTTACTACAACCCAGAGGTACCAGGACTAGATAAAACCTGAGAGGACACTGACAGTGAACTTCCTGAAAGTGATGTTCCCTGCATGGGGGTGGTGGTGGTGGGGTGTTTTGTTAGAGCTGAGGTGTCAGAGCCCTCTCCAGCACTGGAGGGGTGTGAGCAGGAGGACACACTCAGGGCTCCAGACAGGACAGAAGAGGGAGCTGGGGGAGATCCTGGGAAAATACCACAGACGAAAACCTGCCCTGGGACCCAAGCCTAGGTAAAGGACACCCACATGGTCACTCACCGTGCTGCCTGTGCAGGGTGCCCTCGGGCTCCAGGGATGGCTCACAGAGGTTGTCATCCGAACTGTAGCCTGCAGTGGCAACACAGCGGAGGAGTCAGCTCTGACTTGGGCACCACTCAAGGACAGCCCTGTCTGTGCTGCACAGCCGACAGTGACCTTGGACAGCCCGAGTGGTGGCAATGTCCATCTCTCTCAGGAGACGGAGAGCAGCGTGGACACTGCCTTGGGGACCCCTCCCTTCACTTCCTAGCTCTCCTCACTCCTGGCTCAGTTGAGCTTGGTGTTTTATTTCCCGTGTGATGGCAGGGACGTGAAGATGAAGGTGAGCACTGCCCTGGAGACCGGGTATGAGGAAGTTATGACACCTGAGGGGAGATGAGACCCAGCTGTCCAGACAGCTCTGCACCTGGAGCTCCTAACCAGACAAACCCAGAACTCCCACAATTCCCACCACGGACAAGAGGGTCTCCACTCTGACAATGACTAGTGGAGTGCGAGGGTCCCCTGGTGCAGGAACTTTGTCTATTGTTTTTGCCTGGTGGACCAATGCTGTGCATGTTCAAGGGTCCAGAGCTCAGTGGGTACCTTTGCCAAGAAAAGCCACCTTCTTCCTCTAGATGTCCAACACCCAGAGGCAGGGGTGTGGGCAGGGGCGGGGGCGCGACACCCAGGGGCAGGTCGAAAGCAGTCACCTTCAATTCCTTGAGCTGTTTCCTTCATCTCTCAAATTATACAGTTTATTTCCCATTTTAAGCATTATCTTTCCCTACTCATATTTAGATTTCCTGATCCCCACTTTTACCCTGCTCTTTTTCTAGAGTCTTGTTCTTGTTTCATGGGTTCAGTAGCTTCTTTTATCTCTGACTCTGCAGATGCTGGGCCTCTCCGTGCTTTATGACACTCTCCAGTTTACTCTAGGCGTCTTTGGCTTTGGTGTTGATCACACTGGGGTTGCATGGGCTTTGCTAGGCAAACACTGAGCCACTCCACTGGGAACCTCTCCAAATAAGAGATTACAGAGAGGATCTCACTTGCGTCTGAAGACGTGAACATGCGCAGCCCCGGATGTTCTGGAACCAGTAACCCTAGCAAATCCTTCCCTGACCATGTTCAGTGTGGGACACTGGGCCTCAGCTGTGTCAGTGGACTTCCGGACCTCTCTGGAGAAACCTCCTTTAGATTCCAGACCCACCCTGAAGCCACAGTGGGCTCATGGGGCAGACTCCTGGTTTTAGCTCAAACCCTGGTGCTCAGTCCCACTTCAGATCTCTTCTGGGGCCACCAATGTCCATCTGCTGTGCAGAGGGAGGTTCTGAGCTTTCTCTATGACACTGGGCCTCCTGATGGCGTACATGTCCAGAGTCCCTGGCTGCTTTGCAAAGCAAGGTTTGAAGCTGCATCTATGATACCCATGGCCATCAGAGTGTGGCACCTGCCTGTCTCTGAACTTCGGTCCTTAGGAAGGATCAGGGCTCGAGGCACCTCTCCAGAGGGGCCCACACTCACCTTTGCTGCGACCTGGGTGCCGAGGGACGGGAGTGGAGCTGGAGGGAGGTGCTGTGAGCAGTGAGGCCGAACAGGTCCGGGAGCCCAGCTCTGAGGGCCAGGACTTCATGGCTGGGTCAGCAGAGCCCTCTGTATGGTCCAGGCTGCTTCCATGTGGGGACCCTCGCTTTGGTTTTAGATCCCCAGGGCCTGGGGCAGAAGAGGACACTGAAAAATGAGGCTGCAAATGCTGTGTGCGGGCTGGGTGAGTACACAAAGGCCCAAAGCAGGCGTAGCAGGCACACGGACCACAGAAGCTGGGCACTTCCCCTCCCGCCCCAGTGTAAACAAGGGGTCTCAGCTTGGTTCAACCCAAGGCCACTGTGGCTACAGGGTGGGTTAGACCACCCCCCCGTGGAGAACACAGGTTAAACCCATCGCCAGGTACAAGTCCAACTCCGGCCACAGGGTACCACCCTCCATCACCAGACCCGGCTCCCATCCCTCCCTCCCCTCAAGGGCCCTCACAGCTCTGCTTAAGACCAAACCTGAGCCCCACACTAAAGGAAGCCTGCAGAGTTCCAGGAAGAAATCTGCTGCCAACCTCTCAACTATTTTAATCTTTTAAAATGAGAAGCCCGATCTCATCTGTGAGATGGACCACAAGGTGACATTTTTATTTCATATCCTAGGCGTTTTGGCAGTGTTAATTTTTCTACCAAGAATAAAAACTCTTGTCAAGATTAAATAAAATTGTATTTTAAAAAACCATTAAAGAAAAGCAAACAGGGGCCAGGGATTTAGCTCAGTGGCACAAGCACCTGCCTGGTAAGCACAAGGTCATGAATTTGATCCCCATTTAAACAACAATAACAAAAAAGCAAGTGGAAGACAGGATGGATACTTAAATACAAGATAAGAATGTGCTGAGCCTCCTACCGGTAACAAAGCATTTTGCACAATGTCCCATGCCTCGTGCCCAAAGGGGCATTAAGTTTCAAGATTTCAGCTGTTACACAAACTGGCCATCTGCCCGCTTGGCCTCTCAGAATCTGAGCTCACTGTGCCCACAACTTGTGATCTGAAATCAAGGGAAAATCCAGATTTGTTCTGTTTTGCCGAGACAGGGTCTCACTTGGTAGTTCAGGCTGGCCCCAAACTCTCAACAATCCTCTTGCCTCAGCCTCCCATGTGCTGGGATTATGGGCGTGTGTCACCAAACCCAGCTGGAAAATTTGGATTTTTGAGAGATAACCTTGATGAGAAGCAAGTTTCAAGTCCAGTGAAATGAAGGGGGACAGGTCATCCCAGGGGCGAGGGGGAGGTGAGGATGCGGAGGGGAGGTGGTAACAGGCAACAGGCGGCACGAGCAGCAGACAGACAGTGCGGTTCGACAGCATGCAAGGAGGACGGGGCCCTGGGGACCGGGCCCCCGCCAGCCCCGGCTCCCAAAGCGAGGGTCATGAGATGGAGCCAGCCGGACGTTAGCCAACCGCAACACTTCCAGAGGTACGGGTTTATTTTTATGGTTCCTTGCTTTTACGGAGACACTTGGTTTCTTTTTACAGCAAAGTCCTGACAATAACCTTTCCTTTTCACGTCAACTTAACCGGAAACTTCAGGGCAAACAGCTAAGTAGCCACACAGATGGCATAAGGACAGGGTAACCAGGGCAGCACGGGAGTGGCTGGAGACAGACAGGAAAGACTCCAGCGGCGGTGGCCTCTGGCCAGCACCCTCTGCGGCTCTGGCTATGATCTGGGTGCCGATGTGCTTTTTGTCCACTGCTGTTTTAATCTCAGCATCCAAGATGTCACAGGAGCACAGCACAGCCACAGAACTTCGTTCTGGACAAAGATCAATCCAGTTGCTCTGTGCAGCCCAACAGAGCAGTCACTCCTTTAAAGCACAGAGCCCCCTCCCGCGGGCCTCGACAGCAGTGCCCGCACTCGCGTTCTCACAACGATGGGGGCACGGGGCAGCAATTCTAACTTTAGCTGCTAAAGTGTACCTTAAAAGTCTGTAAAACCTCACTTGATGCAGACTACATGTTTTGGGAAGCACAGCGACACGGACCACTTCTGCTGGACACACGGGCATGACAGAAGCCTGCAAGGGCAGGGAGCACGGGGACACACAAGTCACACGACTTACTGAGCACGGACATCCCGGCCCCAGGACACAGGCGCCTATGTCCCGAGGGTCCCCTAAAACTGTGCTGCGCTGAAGAAGTGGTCCAGAGTGTGACAACTCATCTTCTATTTTGAACTCAGAATCCACGCTGGCTAATTTGGAACTGGGGTCAGGAGGAAGGGTCCGCTAGAGGCCATGCAGCCTTTAGGTACTGACTTGGTCTGAATTTCAGAAATGGAGGAGGACAACATGGTGCAGACACATGGTAAAGGGAGGGATTAGAAATCTCCAATGTCTGAGAAAGAGACAGGCTCGTTAGGAGAGGACGGGATGTCGGAGGAAGACCAGAACCGCAGGCGTTTAGACAGAGTCGGGTGGGCCGTTGGAGACTTGTCTTTGTCCTTGCTTTTGCTTCTCAAAAAGGGACTCTTTTTGTGTTGAGCTGCTAAATTGTTATCACCCGGATAACCCGAAAGAGGAAGGAAGAAAAAAAAAAAGGAAATTAATGATAATCACAAATGAATCTCAAGTAGCCAAATGCACTTAAGGAAAGCAGAATCGCTGGCCCTCAGGTTCCGAGCTCAGACTCGAGCCGGGTGCTTGGCGAGGCCTTTACATCCTGACTCACTTTAGTCAATTCAGTGGCCCCTATGCCACCAAGGTACTCCCTTAGCACATGAGGAGAGTTATTCACCGCACCCAGGAGCCACGGCTTGGATGATTTTCAGTTTCGGGGTGTTAGGTGATGAAATAAGGATGCTTATTAAATCAGGAGCTGGCTTCTCTCACTCATCCACCCACGTTCATGACAGGGTCCCTGTAACTCATCTCAGACTACCCCTGTGCCCTGCAAACTCCTCAGAAACCTTCACGACAAGCCCCCAGCCTGCCGTCACAGCAGTCCACCTGGTGTACTCACAAATCACCCCTACGTCTCCAAAGTCACCTTTTGGCAGGAGGAGCTACATATAATAAAACACCTTTGACATCCCCTTGGCTCCTTAATGCCAGGAACAGCTGCTATTTCCTTTTAACTCTTCTCCACTCCCAGCCCTTTAAACACACAATCGTCACACAGCAGACAGCTGGTCCAGTGTCCTCAACACATCTTAGCAGTAACCAACCTAAGTGGTTTGGTTTTTTTTGGTGGTGGTGGTGGTACTGGGAAAATGAACCCACAAAGGAGCATGCTTTACTGTTTTTTAATTTTTACTTTGAGACACTGTCTTGCTAAACTGCTCAGGGTGGCAATGAATTTTTAATCTTGCTTCAGGTTCTTGAAGAGCTGGGATTAAGGTGTGCCCCACCACCGTAAGGGATTTTGGATTTTACTATCTCTATATCTTTCTCCAGAGCGCCACCTGGTGGCCATGGCCCACAGCACAGAATAAGGGACAATTTATGACATGCAGGTGGCCTGTGGGTGAGCCTTATCAGAGAGGCTCTAAGCAGGAGCCAGGGGCCATATTTGTTTAGTGTCTTTTGCAGCCAAAGAAGCTTAAACTGCAGGCAGCACAAATTCAGCTGATCTGTGCTCAGCTCCTTCTTACTATAAGCGTTTAACCCGGTTGAGGTTTACTTTCTTGGCTTTCAAAATGGACAGCAGCGGAATCTGGTGGTGAGTCTGAGGCTAGAAGACACAAAGTTCAAGGCCAGCCTAGGGAATTTAGCGACTTAGTGAGGTGTCGTCTAAAAATTTACAAAACTGAAAAAAGGCTGGGGATGTAGCTCAGTGCGAATGAAGGCTCTGAGTTCAATCCCTAGTACCGATATACAAAAAGAACTGTGTGTGTAGAGGGGTAATGATGCCTGCCTCATAGGGCGGTGAGGATTAAATGAGACACAGACAGCCCTCAAGCCATGTAGCTGCTCCAGGTAACTATTACTGACCTACTGATTCATGGATTGGTTCAACTGTTCAGACTAAGCAAGCAATTTCCCACTCAATTAAACTGACTATAGTTAGTTAGTTAATTAAATATAGAAATAATACAGTTGAGATGATAAATGTCAAAACTCAAGGGATGGCCAGGTGTGGTGGTACATGCCTTTGATCCTAGCACTTAAGAGGCTGAGGCAGGAGGATCGATTCAAGTTTGAGGCCAGCCTGAACTGCACAGTGAAATCCTGTCTCAAAACCAAAAACAAACCTTGAGTGATAGCATGGGTATGAGGCACAACAGGCCCCCAGGTGCCATTTATGCAGACCTCTATCACTTTCATCTGGTCCAGAAACCACAACTGAGCATCTACTCCCAAACCAGGTACTTGTGCATGTCACTCTAAAAGACTTGTGCACTTGTCAACTCGGAGCACTTGTCATGGGTCCTCAGGGCTCAACTACCAGCCCAAGAACGCTAGGCTCCCTAACAGGATCTCCAGAAAGTCCTTGTGTCTTCTGCTAAGACTGAAATCACTCAGGGTCCAGGCCTGGTTTACATAATCTAAAAATGATTTCAGAATAAACTTGAAATTTTCAGAGTTGACAGGAACCTGTGTTTACTAGAGTGCAAGGCCCAGGTTTTCCACATCTAACAAACCTGAAATCAGGGCACAGTGTCCAGTGTCTGTTACCAGAATCGCCACAGGCCAGTGAGTACCTGTGATGGCACTGTTACTGCCAGCAGCAATCTATCTGGCCCCTATTTTCCTTTTAAGTGCGTGAGTAAAAACCTGCCCGTCTTTCAGAAGCGCTCTTTTACTATACCAGCATTTAATAAAACTCCTCAGCGGCCAAGTACCGCACTATTGATTGCCAGGCATTTTCCTTTAGTGCTATACAGTAGCTGCAGATCATCTGGCCTCTGAGCACGAATAAAACACAGGACACAGAACTAGGAATCCTGCTCGTATTTCAGAACCCTTGGCATGCTCTGAATGACAATCCTGGAGGAAGACAGACACTGTGTCCGACAGCCGCTGTGACTCAAGGATGCGTGTGGCTAGAGAAGGAACCTAGTCCGCTTTTCAGAGAACAAAGCAGGAGAACCGCCCAGGACCTCCTGCAGCCCTTGGATCCGGGAGGAGCACATTAAACGCCCCTGGAATCTCCCTATAGAAAACCGCTTTGTAGAGCAAACAATTGACCCAGCTGAGGGACCCCCGCAACACATACACTACTTCGTTTGTCTCTATGGGGCCTGCTTAAATAGAGCCCTGGGTATTCGTCTGTGCAATGAACCCTGCTCCTTGATTAAGTGTTCTACGGGACAACACTGCCATAACAGGGACACAGATTTCTGGTTTCTACCTGGCTCCTGGCAAGCCTAGGTAGAAGGCACACACCTCTTAGAGTCACACACTGGCCATGCACACTCCTTCCCCGAGCCCCACCGCAGCTGGGCGGAGCTGCACCTACCTTTCCCCGAAGGCCCGTTGTGAGTGTCACGCTCTTCGGTGCCATTTGAGGCCAGTGCGGGACTGTTGGGGTTCTCCGGCTGCAACCGGAGAGACTGAGGGGCTGACGGTGAGGCAGGGTCTGTGGACTCTGGCTGCCAGGGAGAGCTGTCTGTGGTTGACTTTACTCGCTCTCTGGAACCGTCTTTCTTTGGTTTGATGAATTTCACTAAGGCTTTGGCTCCAATCCAGTGGTTTTTCCTAGTTAGGAGGATATTTTTAAGAGCTATAACCAATACTCCCACTCCCCCCCCCCCCCGTGGGTTCCCTAAAGTGCATGGGATTCTTATCATAGGCCTGTGAGGTGTGGCCCTTAACCTGGGATTCAGAATGGTGGTGCCAAGCTGGGGTGTGATTCAGTGGTGAAGCACTGGCCAAGCCGGTGAGGGCCTGCAGTTCAGGCCCAGCACATTTAGAAAAGAAAAAAAAATAAAAAAGGACAGCAACCTTCATGCACCCTGCCATGATCATTTTTGGGCTCAGGATGTAGAATCCAACCCTTATGTGTAGGTTGGGTGATAGTGGAAGAAATTCCAACCAGTGTCCATAGAAAGAGAACTTCAAGGCAGGCCTGGGGGCACAGGCCTGTAATCCCAGCAGTTGGGAGTTCAAAGCAGAAGGATTACAAGTTCAAGTCCCATCTGATCAAGCTAGTGAGACCCTGTTTCAAACTTTTAAAAATAAATACATTAAAAGGTTGGAGCTACAGCTCAATGTGAAGACCTTGGGTTCAATCCCCAGTCCTGGGACAGGGACAGGAACCTCACATGAAACAGGCAACTCTTGTAATGACATGAAGGCAGGGTGGCTGTGTTAAGATAAGTTGGTGGTTTTTCTGTCCAAAAGTCATCTTCTGAAATACTTTCTGCTGAAGTTAGCAAATGAAATAAGCCAGCATCCACTGAGCCTTCCCTGGCACTGGGAAATCTGGACCGGGGGCAGAGGGCAGAGGGGAGTGGGCTGTTTGAATTGGGTTGTTTGTGTTTAAAGAATGAGTCAGGAACCTGCAGGCAGCACCAAGCTGCCTGGGCCCCCACCCCGCCTCACAGTCCCCTGTTCACCCCACTCCCCGCCTCAGCTACAATTTTTCTGTCAGACAGAAGACTAGGAATGAGGCTCTGCCATTTCACCAGAGTCCCTTCAAGAGATTCTGGGTGATTTCAACTTCAAGGCCCCGCTGGGCTGGATGAGGACTCCTGCGGCCCTGGATCAGGATGGAGGCTGCAGCTCCAGGGGCCGCTGCCTGGGGAAGCAGAGACTGTGGTCAGGGTCTAAGGACTGCAGCGCTGGGCCTGGTGTTTCACCCGACGCTTCCAACACAGGAACATGGCTATTCTGCATCTTAACATGAAACCTGACAAGGGCCGCCCTGCCATCAGGCTTCAGCGGCTGAGATCCCACTCTGCCTCCAAAAGGGCTCACAGTCAAATGAAGTCTGTGTCTCATCTAGGTCGGCCACCCTTCGCCACCCTTCGCCACAGGACAGGTGGGAGCACACAGCCAGATAGCAAGGTGGTAGAGATGGGGCTTGCAAACGGGCAGGGGTTGCTGCCTTGTCTCATGGAAAAGCCCACTGCACACGCCATCTGTATGTCCTAGAACCTTAATCAACTCACTTCTTTGGAGCAGGATCATAGAATTTGTACTGATCCATGATTTTCTCTTCTAGTTTTTCCTTATGTCTCCGTAAGGCATTTAATTTGTCTCTGTGAACAGAAAAGAAAGAAAAACTCTCAGTCAAAGTTTTAAACAAATTTGCTCATCGGCCTGACCTGAAACAGAGGTTGGTGTTTTCCTGGCATTCAGACCAGGGGCGCTTGTCACCACACTGGTCACCGAGTTTCAAACAAGACAAACAGAAGCATCTGCCTCGGATCTGGGGACCCTGAGACCCAGAGACCACCGAGGATCTACCTGTTCAGCAGGGCAGAAGCCACGCTTGGGCCGCTCCCACGCTGGGCAGCTGCCAACACCTTGACCGGAGCTCCATAGTTCCCTAGGCCAGGTAGAGACGGGAGGCAGAGCCAGTATGGGGAGGCTGAGGGAGTGGTGGGGTCAACTGCTGCCCCAAGCAAACGGACATAGGTCAAGGGACACAGGCTAGGGGAGTAGATCGGATTTCTAAATGTCAGACAGCTGTTTTGATTTTCAAACCAAGGGACCAGCAACACCTTTTGAACCCGGCCTGTCACAAGGCATTTCTGCTCCCCAGGGAGTCAGAAGTGCTTCAGTTGGACTCCGGAAGCCTCCTGCATGGTCGGTCAGACAGCTCAAAGCCCTGGTTTGCTCTCTTGAGAACAATGCCCGGAGAAGAGGTCACTGCTCTGCGTGGGTTCCGTCATGTCTGAAGCTACTGAGGTCCTGGCTAAGCCAAGGGCTGTGAGACTTTGCTGTGAGGCTGCACCCTGGGCAAAGGGACACAATGCAGCCTTGACACCAGCTGCACTCCTCCAGGTCTGCTCCGTGTCCATGCTCCGTCTTCCCTGGCCTCCGTGGTGCTGCTTTCGCAGCTGAGTTTGGCCCCACACACGTGCCAGGCCCTCACCAGTCCTAGGAAGGGCGCCAGCCCACTGGCCTGACACAGACGCTCTCTAATGCAAAAACGTCACCCAGTAATCTCCCTGGGACCAGGCTCCTGCATCTTCCAGTCAGCACCTGCCCTCTCCCCCTCCTGGCAAGTCCACCTCTCGGGGTACAGAGGGCCAGCTCTGAGCAACTGTCATTTCTGTCCCCAAATTATAGTGTAGGTTCACACACCAACCATCCCTTGGTAGGTGGGGGAGAACAGATAGGCAGGCAGCCCAGGAGGGAGCATCGTGACATCAGAGGGAGTGGGGACAGCAGCTGGGGGTTCACAGTGACCATGTCCTCCACATGTCTCTTCTTGCCCTCGCCACACTCGTGCCAGCACTCCCTGTCCATCACAGGAAGGTACAGGAGGGCCACCACCGCACAGAGGGGTCCAACCACTCTGGATGCTGGAGTCACAGCCTGGATTACTATGCCTCCAGCACCAGGGTCCTTCCTCTCGTCCTCCACTTCTGGAAGCTTGCTAGGTCTCCTAGACTCACATCCCTCTCCCAGGGACTCCAAGGTTTTCAACTGGGTGGGAAAGCCCTCCCAGCAGAGTACCACCCTTTTCAGCCTCATCTCCCCATACCCCAAAGGGTCCCTGCCACACACGCTCATGCCTGTCACCTTTCCTGCTCCTGCACCAAGGTTCACATGTCCTGATTGCTGGCCAAGGTGGGACAAGCAGGGCACAGCCAACCCACTCCCCACAATTTCGAAGCCTCTCTCTGGAAGAGATGAGGCATCTGTTTGGTCTTGGCATCACTTATAAAAGTGAACTTCAAAAGCCAAAGAAGCTTCCAGTGGTGAATAGTGGACAAAGCCCACATAAGCTGAGCCCCACCACTCCAGGACTCTAGAACACTCCAGCGAACTCTCTTAGTAACACAGCCCTGCTGTGAGGGTGGGGACAGCAGTCCGGGACCCCCCGCCACGCCCCTTACATGTACTGCTTCTGCTCCTCGTGGTACTGCTCCTTGTTCTCCAGGTTCTGCTCTAGGAGCATTTGGTTCTGTTGGCTCAGCAGCTGGATTTGACTCAGCAGGTGATGATTCTCCTCCTCCAAGTTCCCCTTGAGGCGGGACAGCAGCTGAAACACAGACCCACAGCAACTCAGGCACCAAGGGACTCCACGACCCTACCCAACTTGCGGAAGAAGGAAAAGGCAAGTGTGTGCAGTGGGCATCACAGTACCTCTGCACTCATGGACTCTCAGAAAGCTCCAAAGTGCCCACAACCTGCCCAAGTGCCCTCTGCCACGGCACTGTCCCACACAGACAGAGGCTGCTGAGCACTGGTAGTGTGGTGGGTCTATGCTGACACATGCTCTACTGGAGACACAGAGCAGAGGCTGAATGCTCATCAGAGGAAAGAAAACACAAAATTTCACCTGGGAGCAGCCGCGTGTGCCTGGACCTGGGAGGAATTATGTGGGAGACTGAGGCAGGTCATCAAGATCAGCCTGGGCAATGCAGAAGACCCTCATTTCATAAAAAATTTTAATTTCATTTTGTAAAGTTTTTTTTTAAACATGGTTACAAAAATAATAAATTGCATATGGGGCATGCATTCTGTTCCAACTAGATGGCTTTAAGACAGGTGGTGCACTTTTTCTGACCAGAGACAGAATTGTCCAGTGACAATTCCAGACTTTTCAAGCCGTCTCGTGTCTGTCACAGCTCACTAGTAGAGAAAATGCATAAGCCTTGCTCTGATTTGATGAAACTTTACTTATAGACGCTGATGTTTAAGTTTCATATAATTTTTTTACTCAACCAGAGATTATTCGACTTTTCTGCCCATTAGGCAATGTTAAGAACTGTCTTAGTTTGTGGGCCGCACGGTAACAAGTGGCAGATACGATCTGGTCTGTGGGCTGAAGTTTACCAACTTCTGTTGTAGAATATCCCCGCGGTGTAGAGGGAAGTTGCAGGCTTTCGATGTAGAGACTGGGTCCAGTTCACTATTGCAAGGGACAAGGATGGAGACCCCAGCTCCCAAGGTCACCATGAGGATTAAGTGAGATGACACAGACAAGCACACAGCAAAAAGCCCAGTGCACCCCAGGGGAAAGCAGATGCTGCTCCAGCCTCTGCACCCTGGTACCATGAACAGAGAAGCCGTGGTTCCACCTGCCAGGAATATTACTGGGGCTTGCTCAGGTGCACATGATGAGCAGAGGAGGAAGGGAAAGCAGGGCGGACCGTGACTGATCACGGCCTTGCTAAAACCACTTCCAGATCACGGCTACAATGCTGTTTGGATGGTGCAGGCACCACCCTTCCTGGAGATTCTATGTTGGCCCTGCAAAGATCTGGCCTGGCTGCAGCCCTGGGGACCTTGTGCACTGGGCCTCGCTGTGGTCGAGTTCTGATCCCGGGGCAGGCCGTCCCAAGGATGATGCGATAGCTGTGTGTCTACTTCAATAGGCCCTGGCAACAAACCAACCTGGCTTAACAACCCTCAGGAGAGGCGAGGGGCCAGGTCTGCCCTGCGCTCACTTACATTTTGCCCTGCAAAAGCTAGAGCCACATCCCCTAAATCACACACAGAAGCCCTGACCCCCCCAGTCACTCAGAGCATGACTGTATTTGGAGGTGGAACCTTTAGAGGAGCAGATTACGATGAGGATGGCCTCACAGGCAGGGGCGGACAATTGGAGAGGGCAGGTGTCTCTCTGGACCCGAGGGGAAGAACCACAGATTACACGGAGGAAATTACCACAGGGGCGAGGACACACAAGAAAGTGGCCACCTGCCAGCCAGGGCGAGAGCCTGGGGGACTCCCGGCCCAGAACTGTGAGAAATAAACGTCTATTTTCTAAGCTGTCCCCGAGCCGTGGCACTTTGTTATGACGGCCCAGGCAGACGATGGCAGCTCACGCCTGCAGCCCATGTGGGACTGGTCCATGCTAGCCCTCGTTTCACTGCCTCCTCCATCATCTGCCATCCCTGCTCTGACCGAACCACACATGTTCTCCCACAGCCAACGCCAGCTTGCAAACCAGCCTTTCTCACGCCCACACCTTGCCAGTTCTGCTCTGGCATGAATATAACCTTTTCCCTCATGCAGCCTGACACGATCTCCTCAAATGCTCTGCATACCCATGCTGACAGCAGTACACTTCAAATAGCAGCAAGTATGGCAATCAGCAGATAAATGTACTCAGACAATGTGGCTTTTATAAACAATGGAGCACTACTATGCCATAATGAAGCTTTGAGTCATCTGCAGGAAAATAAATGTACCTTCAGGTCATAATATTAAGTGAAGAAAAGCAGAAACAAGCTTTACTATTGCAGTTTCTCTTATGAGAAACCCAATATATAAATAAACTATAAAAGACAAATAGGAAAAAGAGAAAAAGTTATTGCAAGCCAGCCTGAACAATATATTTAAATGAACCTTGAGTTGTAGTCTTACGTATTTTATAATTTTTGGGCCTGGTTAGTCTGACTGTTGGTCTGTATTTATAACTACCTTGAGGACTGCTGGCCAAAAAAAAAAAAAAAGTTTCCTAAAAAAGGAAAAGAAAATGGAAATTAAAAAAGAATGTACCATGTATCAATTCCCCACAACGAATGCAATCATTATGTACTGCAAACATGCACTAATAAAAGTAAAAAGTAAAAAAAGAGTCTCGGTGTCCTGCAGAGTGACAGCACAGCGTGGGCTTTGGTCTCCTTCTTCATGATGTCTCCCAGTACCAGCCCAGAGTTGAAGGACAGGGTTTCTGAGCAGACCTAGCCCCAAGATCATATGCGCCCCCCTGGGGCTGTCCTGGGGGAATGTGGTGACCCCCATCTCCCAGGCCTTTCCGTGTACCTTGGTCCATCTAAGATCCCGTCCACTAAGAGGGCTCCACTGCCTACAATGGCCATTTCCACCTAGTGCATCAGAAAGGACAGCTCCAGACACCATGGACCTGAATGAGTTTCGTCCTCACTGTCCCAGGATCCTGAGCCTATTGGCCAAACCCCACGACATTGCAAATTTAAGCCACTTCTCTAGAACGACATGGGCATGGAAATGATGGGATCTGGAAACACAGCATGGACACAGGCAGAGGACAGACAGAAACACTATCCCCACCGGGATGCCTGACTCATTCTTAGGGCCACCCACACACCCTCCTGGAGCAAAACAACTGTGGGGCCCCCCTGTCACCCCAAGCTCCTGAGTGCCCCGAGACATGTCCACCAGCGGCCTCACCTCGCAGTGGTTGTCCAGCTTGGTCAGCGAGATGTCCATGGCCTGGTGCTGCTCCTTCAGCTCGTCGAAGCGCGCCTGCCAGCGGTTCAGCTCCAGCTGCGAGGTGTTCAGCGAGGTTTTCAGCTCCTTGGTGTGGGCATGCAGCTCCTCACACTCCCCCTGCAGCTGCTGGTGCAGGAAACTGACCCTACGGAGTGGACGGCCACATGGGGAAGGGGCTGAAGCATGTCCCAAAGAGGGACTGCTCTGTTGCAGCTCTGGCGGAACCAGGATGTGCAACCTCAGGAAAAGCCACAGCCTCCCTGGGCCTCTGGGTTCTTTATGCATAAATTTAGAGGATTAAATGAAACAGCTGGTTTTCAAACTGCTCTTTGGGGTTCTATTAGGGAACCTTTGCTGCTACCACACTGGGCCTGGAGGGAAACTGGGCAGGCTCAGACACCAGCTTCAGAGACATGTGTTTTGGCATCTTAGCTCTTCCTCATTATGGTGACTTTGGCACCTCACATACATGGGAAAAGGGATTCTGCTATCAAGAAAACAACAACAAAAAACCCCTCTGAGCCAGACCAAGTCTGTCTATGCCTAGCAGCATTCCCAGGTCTACACACCGAATTTCAACTCCTAACATAAACAGGACAAGATGGCAGGGTATTCTGTAAATCCACTAACCATCATCATAATAACTATCATCATAATTTGCTAGGGGGGGTCTCAGGAATCAACCAGAAAGGTCAATTACTAGGACTCAGACACTTGATTTGGACATGTGTGTCTTGCTCAGTGTATAATTTTATTTTTTCAAAACCTAGTAGACCACGTTTAAAAATTTGGATGTTTCACACAACACACAGACATCCAGGTTCTGGGAGAACATGAGCCACAGGAATGACCGACAGCCCAGGCCCAGGCCCCACTGCTGCGGAGCTGCCCTCACCTTTCCCACTGGTGTGGACCCTCTAGCCTCAATGCTTTCCCTGCAGGCGCCTGAGTGGAACCCCCGGGACTTTAACCCAAGGATGCAGAGTTAACAGAACTTTGTATCATCGTCTTCAGGACTCTGGAAGGAGCCAGGACCAGGATCCAACCCTGGCTCTGCCATTAGCCTGAGGCATTAACTTTGAACACCTCACTTTATCTCCCCAAGTCTGTTCTCTTAGTGTTTAAATAAAAAGGGGGTAGACAACAGTACAGCCTATTCTCAATATGTGCATTAGCTCTGTTCTATCCTGGCAAATGGTAGTGAATACTGCACCACTGCTCCGAGGGAAAATGCGTTAGGTTCCAGAGAGCCTCGGGCTGCAGCATTTTTGTTTTGTGTGTGTTTGTTTAAATGCACCTTACATAATAATGCATTTGTAGCCAGCAGTGCTCTAGCTCCCATGCGGGCAAGGCTCATCTTCCATACACTTTCTCCGGGGACATCACGGCCCTTCACCCTGCACAACACTAGGCACACCTCAGCACTGCGCCTGAGACCCAAAGCACACAACACAAAACACAGGGCGCTCATCAAGATTTGGAAAAGGACTGGTTTGCAGTAGCAGCTGAAACAGGAAGTGGCCTCAGCTGGGAACAGGGAGGTCTGAGGACTCATTCTGTGGACTCTACGCATGTTCCCAGAAGCCCCACAGATGTGCAATTCTGTGCTACAAATAAATGCTAGCAAGAAGGAAAATTCACAAGTATGGAATCTGTGAATAAGGAGGATCAGAGGCACTTCCATGACAGTGCTATAGGTTTAATTCAAGTCAATGATGGAGACATCTGCGCTAGATAGCCATCATCACACGGGGGGAGGTAAGATGCACTGCGCTTAGACACGAGACATTCCCACGGGCACCCGAGTCCTTCCACTCAGCTGTCATATGGGGCTACTGCAGCCCCGCCCCTGGCCGATGTCAACAAGACAAGCTTTAGAAAGACACACAGTGGCTGAGGAACTCGCAGGGCTGTCCCCCGGTGGACAGTAGTGCCGGCACTCACCTGTCCAGCTCTGCCCGCAGCCTCTGGTTCTCGCCCATGGCGACAGCATTCGTCCTCTGCTCCTGCTGCAGGGCCTCCCTCTCAGCAGTCAGCACCTTCTCCAGCTCGTCCAGCTCGGCCCTGTGTTTCAGCATGTCACCGTGCCTGTGGAAGGGAGACACTGCTGGGTGTTGGGCATGGGCCCTCATACAGGTAACTCAGACACTGATAAGGCCTTTGGGTTCAGGGGTTTCGATGCAGAAGGAAGGGGATGCAGCAGTGTGCATGCAGATGGAGAACACGGGATAGTAGACGGTGGCTAAGAGCTGCAGGAGGGGCTGGGCCAGCACGCAGCTCCGGCCGGAATCCTCTTCCTCCTCCCACCAGACACGTCCTGGGTGTCCTACCCCTATCAAGGCTACTCCTCAACTCGAGAGCAGGGCTACACTGAACTCTATGTTGTCTTTTGGTAATCGCAAGTAAGTTACTGGTGGTTCACTGAGCATAAACAGATCTAAAGGAAACCACAAAACAGCCAAATTCCACTGTGTGCAACAGCTAATCCCTCCTCAGCACCCTCCCTGCTCCCCTGAGAGCCCTGCTCTACTTGTCCCTAGCCTGGTCCTCTCATGGTCCGAGACCTGCTGAGAAGTGCAAGAGCCGCCTCACCTTTGCTGCCCCAGCCACAGCCCGTACCCTTTCTTTCCCCTCCCATCCCATCTGAATTTTCTGTGCACTCTATTTTTGTAGGCTGGACAGGTGGGGACAGCACAGCACAAGGTTGGAGTCCCTGAGACACCAGGGTCCTGCCTCCCCTTTGCTGAGAACCATCTGTGCTCCTGGTGGACAGAGGCTGCCCCAAGCACAGAGCTCAGATTTGAGGCTGGCCTGGCTTTCAGAGTAGGACTTTTCTTATCCAAGCTAATGACACTGGAAGAATTATCCAAGTTTGACAAATAAGGACCCTGGGCTGACCTTAAGGTTCCCCAACTCCTGCTCCTTTCTTATGATGTCTTAGAAAAGCATGACTTACATCATTAGTTAACTACCCACCTGCACAGCAGACTGAGGAGTCTTATTCAGCCTAATCCCTGGCACAATATATGATAAACGCCTAGAAGGGTGAGGAAGTGAGCCTGTCCAACCCAAGTGCTGGAGCAGAGTGAACACAGCCTTCATTCCTACACCCCAGACCCACACCAATGTGCAACCAGCAAAGCATACACAGTAACCAGGGGTGCTAACCCAAGCATGCCAACACAGGGCAAGGACGAGAATTCCACCTCCAGGCCCAGTCTCAACACTACCTGCAGAAGCCTTCCCCCAACATCACTGAGAACACGAGAAGATGCTATTATAACGGACTCTCTCCTGGGACACCAGGACTACGACACGAGCCTACACGTCTCATGCTTGACTCAAATGCTGTATGAACACTGCCTGCTCCACTTTATTAACCAGCACACAGAAGACGTTCAACAAACATTACCTACGCACAGGAGGGGGAAGATAAAGGTGTCTAGGGGAAGACAACACACGTTTTGGTGAAAGGAATAGAATCTTATGTATACAGATTCCACCTACCCCTCCCAAAATAAAAGACGTGGGGGTGGAAGGCACGAGGTAGAGATGAAGGGAGAAGCGGCATCACACAGCTGAACCAGGCAGGTGGGCAACAGGATTCATGACACAATTGTGTCTATAACTAAAGCGTTTGTTTTTTGTTTTTGTTTTTTAAGGCAAACCACCCGGCCAGATGCTGTTATGGAAGAAAAGGCCTGCAGAGTCAGGTCAGCCACGCCTGCACACAGGTCACAGGTTGGGAGAGGAAAGGGCAGCAAGGAGAGAATCCTTAGGAGAACAGGGTTTCGGTGCTCTGCAGAGTGCCCGGAGCTCAGAGCAGCTGCAGCACCTCCTCTTTCCTTGGGCTCCCCGGCCCTGACACTCAGTACCCAGCACAAACTTAAATTGCCCAAAGTGACATTTTATTTCCTTCCCATTGCTGACAATGGGAAGCAGCCAGCCAAGAGGAAACACCGGGAGAGGGATGGAAGTGGAATGTGGGCTGGGAGAAAGGCCAGTCCTGGAGGAGCCTGAGGACTCCCTGCACTGCACTCACTGCACCCAGACCCGCCAGATCCCACAGGGTCCCCAGTGCACAAGGCCCCACCTTTCTCTGAGCTCCTTGTGCTCCAGCTCCAGGTTGCGGTGCAGCGTCTTCAGGCAACTGTGCTGGCGGATGAGGGCCTCGTACTCCGAGGACTGGCGCTCGTGCAGCGCGCTCAGGTGCTCGTGGTCCTGGAGCAGGGCCTCGTAGGCAGCTGCCAGCTGCTCCTGCTGCCTCTGCAGGCCTTCGTGCTCCGTCTCCTTGGCCGTGTGCTGGCCCTGCAGCAGCGCGTACTGTGCAGCCAGCGCGGCACTCTGGGAGCTCAGTGTGGAGTTCTCCACCTGCAGGAGAGCAGAGCCCCACCGTGGGTCACACAGCAACCATCAGGGAGCACAGCAGGGCAGGCCAGGCCCAGAAAGGTGGTTCCACCGGAACTTAAGGACCTGCTTAGCGAAGGGGACCAGACCACGCAACACCAACGGACTGCAGCTGAGCCTCTCCATGAGTTAAGGCCTCCCTCTGGGTAACTTCCTTGCTATTTTCTCTCTCTCTCTCTCTCTCTCTCTCTCTCTCTTGAAACAAGACACTGTGTAGTTCAGGCTGGCCTTGAGCTCACTTTGCAGCTCAGCAATGATCCTCCTGCCTCAGCCTCGCGAGTGCTGGGATCACAGGCATGCACCACAGTGCCTGATTTCCTTGCTATTTTCAAAAACTCATTTTCTAGAAGAAGCAGACAGAAAATCTGTAAGGATAAAGAATATCTCAACACTGTCAACCAACCTAACGTAATGTTACGGAATACTGCATCCAACATGACTCAAAATTAGAGAATTAAACATGAGCCAGAACTACTCTAATATTAAAACCAGACAAAGACTTTTTTTGAGACAAAAATACAAAACAAACCCATATCCTATTTTCTTATTTTCACAGAACAAATCCTAGTCTCCTGGCCAAAGAATTTCCTGTTTATTGTCCCTGCTCCATAAATAACCTATTTTCAGTTTCCTCAGAAACTGCATGAATGAATGATCATTAATTTTCCCACCACCTTTAACCATAAATGAAACTGGCATCTTCAGCAGCCCAGAGGGCTGCTTCTGGGGCTTCTCCCAACAGCTGGAGGCAGCTTCACAGCCCACTTCCCTCCTGGAGATGAAAATGCACATTGGCCTCACAAAAGTTCAGCAAGATTTCGCACTGCAGAAAACCGGTCAATTGTTCAACCCAACTTCTTTGACCTCCAGACCACTTTTCTAAGTCATTCCTGGTAACTCTCGCAAGAAACAGACTTTGGGAAAGGTGGGCAGGAATGTAAAAGCAGAGAAATGAAGACTTCAGCAAATGAAGCCAAAGCTCAATCTCTGAAATGGGCTTATCAGTCACCATCACCTCTGAAGACGCTGACTTCAGCGAGCTCATTAACAAGGCACACACCTCACGCCCTTGTGTTTTATCCTGTGCTCACTCCTCTACGCACCCCGCGCCAGCTGCCTGGTACCTGTAGCTTGGCAGTCTGGGTCTGCAGCGTGGTGGTGCGCTCCTGCAGGAAGGCGCTCTGCTTCTGCAGCGTCAGGATCTGAGTGCTGAAGGCCACGTTCTGTGTCTCCACGTGCTGCAGCTGCTCTTTCAGCAGCTGCTTCTCGGCCTGCAGAGCTGCGTTCTAGGGGACAGGGAAGCATGTGTCAGTCAAGCAGGGCCGGGCAGCGGCCAAGTGGCCACAGTACCTAGGGGCTACAATGAACCCTCAAGTGCGGATGGAGGCAGAAGCCAGCGTGCACCAGCTGCAGAAATAACAGTTGCCCTCTTGTAAAGGACAATCAACAGAACTTCTGAGAACCAGAACACACACAGTGAGAGATACATATTACAGGGGACTCAAAGGGATGGTGACTCCCGGGCACACTGAGGCAGAGCCGCCCCCGGCCTTCCTCCTCTCTTCTGTGCTTTCTTTTGCTCTCTGTGGAGCACCTAGGAATGCTTTTCTTTGGGTCCACCTCCTGCTGACCTCGGCTGCAGCTTATCCTACTCTGGGAGCCAGCAGGAGGAAGAGTGCAATGCACATTATGTGGGATCAATAAAGAGCCCCAATGTGCCATCAACTAGGTTAGGGACCAGGACATGGTAGAGGGGTTGTGTTCGTATGCGATCCCTTATTCACATAAGACTCGGAGAATCATACATTCTGCCTTGGATTTTTTATCTGTCAAATAATGAAAATCATCACTATGGACTACAGACAGTCACTGGCAATCAAAACCAAAGAAGTTGGGACACACTGGCTCATTTTTTCCATAAAGCGCCAGATGATAAATACTTTCCAGTTTGCCAGCCACACTGTCTCTATCTCCACCCCCAAATGCTACCACTGCAGTGGGAAAGCTTCCCAGACAATGCATAAACTGAGGGCATGGCTGTGTTCCTATAGAGCTTTATTTACAGACACAGCAGAAGGCTGTGAAACACAGCACCAGGACGCAGCCCTGAAAAAGGCTACAGGAAGAGAAGCTGGCAGAGAAGCCACAGGCAACGCCTGTCAAGGCAGTCGGGGCGACACGCCACAGCAAAGGCTGAATGTGCCTCTTATGCTAGAACTGTGAAGGGACAACAAATGAGAGGCGCCCACGGGACCTGCCAGGTCAACTCAAAAAGTGTTCAGCTACATCCAAGAAGCTTCCGTGGACTCTGATCAACTCCCGCGTCCTTTACAGTAGTTACACAGGGACAGCCGGACTGGGAACAGGACGCTCCCCTCTCTGTGCAACTAGGGCCAGGGCACTCACATTCCGCTCCAGCTCGATGGCCCGGTCCTTCACTCGGAGCAGCTCCATGGTGGCCTCCTTGTGGCCAGGGCCCCAGGCCTCCTCCTGGGGACTGGTGACTGACGTGCCCAGAGGTCGCTTAAGCGAGTTCTGCATGTGTGCTGCCTCTTCCTGGGTCTTCCTGAGCTGGTCCCGCTCTTCCTTCACCTGCAGGGATGGGGGACAGCGCTGCACCAATACCATATGCACGCACACATGCACACGTGTGCACCCACACACGGCACAGAACAGGCCAGTTGCCACTCTTTGCTCTGGTGGGAAAGGGGCACCCAATCTCAGTCTCCCTTGTTTCCCTGTTCTTTCCAGAGATGACAGCAAGGGCAGAAGCCAAGTGTCCACACCTGCCTCAGTCCCTACCTCAGCGCCATGCCTGCAGCAGGCTTCTCACTCACCTGAGCCCCCACTGCCCATGAGTAGGGAGAAGGCTGGGGAATGGGCACCAGGGTATCCTAGCCCTGGCGGAGCCTTGCCAGTGCTGGAACTGTTCTGTTCCACATTTCAACTCAATCCCGCTGCTGAGACACATGCCTCATGTTCACACGGGAGGACTGGGGCAGCAGTGTGTGTGTGTGCAGAGTCCTTACACATGTGGATGTGTGGAGCACACCCACATACATGTGGAAAGCATGTCTATATATGCAGAGAACACGTGCCTGTCCGCACAAGCACCTGCCCTGTCTGAGCATGCCAGGGCTGTGCTGGGTGCTGGGTGCTCACTTTCACACAGAGCTCTCATGGTGGAGCCTCACTTCTGCCGGACACCTGCCCCTGTCCTGCCAGTGTGCGATTCAGATGGCGGGAGCTCTAACCCTGTGGTTCACACCACCTGCCCCAGGACAAAGGCCTCCAGGCCACCCTGGGTCACCCAGGCAAGGGGCAGGAAGGGCAGGCAGGGCCCGGCTGGCAGGGCAGGCTGGGCTCTCACCGTCTGGAGCTCGCTCTGTAACTGCTGGTTCAGGCCCACTTTCTCTTCCACTTGGGCTTCCAAGAACACAATCTTTTCTTCTTTCATGGCCAGTGCTGTTTTTAATGTCGACTCATTTCTGCTCTCCAAAAGCTTGTATTTCCTGAAAAACACAAGACACAATAGTATCACTTACCCGCCTCACCAACCCCACACCCATCTCCTCCCGGGAGGCTGCCTGCCTGTACCACTGAGGAGTCAAACCCACTGCAGGGCCCTTTCCGGGATCCCTGAGCAGATGGCACATCCATGACCCCGCCCAGGAGACAGGTTGCTACCTTTTAGGGTCACTGTTTTAGGAAAGTGTTATCATGGTCATGTTACAGATGGGGAAACTGAGTCTTAGAAAGCTTAAGTGATTTGTTCAAGGTCGCAGAGCAAGGCAGATGGCAAGTCTACAGCCTTTCCTCCATTTCAAACAGGCATTGTCAGCAGGCACATGGGTCTCACAAATCCACAGGTCCAGGATATCGGATTTCCTTACACAACTGATCATTTTAAAGAAATCAATGCTTGCAACAGTCAAATTAAAAAAGAGGCCTCATAGCTGGGCGTGGTGGCTCACACCTGTAATCCCAGCACTTGGGAGGCTGAGGCAGGAGGATCCTTGTGAGTTTGAGACCAGCCTGGGTTACAAAGTAAACTCAAGGCCAGCCTGAACTGCATAGAGAGACCCTGCCTAAAAAAAAAAAAAAAAAAAAAAAAAAAGCCATTTTTCTTATTGGACAAAAGAATCTCCCTGCACGCCCCCTGGGAGCCAGATCTGGTCTTCGGAGGACACAGGAGCCACATGGTGGGGTGATTTCAGTAAACAAAGGCCTCAGGTTGCAAGCACAGAGGCTGGGACCCGCAGCAGAAGACGTGCTACCACAAGGGAGACCATACTCACGTGTCACCGTAGCTGTTCTCATCCTGCAGCAGTAGCTCCTTGCTGAGCCCAACCTTCTCTAGCTCCTGGCCCAGTTTGTCCAGCTCACTGGTCAGCTGTTGGCTCTTCAACTTCTCCAGCACCAAGTCCTACAATAGGAGACAGGAGCATGGAGTGGGAGCCTGGCAGTCGCAGCAGAGGCCAGGCCAGGGCTTCTTCACGAGGTCTTCTCTGAGCCACTTCTCTCCGAGTCCTGGCTGCCTGGCTGGGTGACCAGACAGCCTACCCCAGACAAGGACGCACTGCCAGAAGAAAGGAAATGACACACTTTCCCAGGCCTAAGCAGACCATACGGCAACACGCTAAGGATGGATCTAACACACTCCTTCTCCAAGACATGTTGGAAATGCCACTTACAGTGACCTCTGAGTACCGGGTTTGATCTCTAATGATAGAGCTGCCTTTCTATAGAGTAGCAAGTATCAAAATGCACATTGCAGACAACGAGAAACAAACAAACAAACAAAAAAAGAGATTCTATTGGAAGCCCTGGTCCTTTTTACTTTGCGGAACACAGATGCTGAATTCACCCAGGTGAGTCACATACTCCAATCCTCTTCATGTCCATCCACCTCTGCTGTTCTCTGAAGGAAGCCACCATTCCTGCCTGGGGCCAGTCACCTGCATGCTATTCACCCCTCCTACCAAATGACAGGCAGGGTAGCAGCAACAGCAACACCATCCATCTGTTCCCCCAAATATTCCCCTAGTGCTCTATTAGCTGAAGCCAGGTGACCAGTGGGTGTGAGTACGAGTGATATGGGTCACTTCCTATGTGACCTCCCAGCTGCCTTCTGCCAGGCACCACTGCCCAAGCCTGGTGCTGAGATAATGGACCCATCACAATCAAGGGGTTCTGGATGGCTGAGTCCTATCACAGGGGACAGACTCTCACAGAGAGACCGGGCTCTGCTGTGATAAGCTGCGGAGATCTGGAAGTGGCAGGTGACCGCGGCACAGGGCTGCAGCGGGGAGACTGCAGCAGAGTGCCACATCTAGTGTGCGGCCCTCCCTGCAGCAGGCTGTCCTGCCTGCACCAATCGTTTCTAAAAGTGGAGACCCTTCTGCGTTCACTGGAATCACTTCCTTCCCCTCCTGGGCACACAGCACTGCAGCTGCCCGGAGCAGTGTTGAGTGTAATCTGCAGAGAAGCCCCCAGGGAGGGGTTGGGCTCCACAAGAAGGGAGAAGCCTGCACTTGAACCACAGAGCTCCAGACCACTTGGGAACACGCATACTGAACTCCTAGGGAAGTGAGCAAAACCTGGGGTCAGGCCACCAAGGAGCCACCTACATCCTCTCCAGACCAGCTCGTCTCTATAACATCACACTAAATGCACAAATGCCCAGGTGGCCTGTGCAAACAATATTAGGGAAAGCAGGACAGACATTTCTAGAGAAGTTTATATGTGCACTAAGACACTAAACAAAGTATTCACACCTTCTCTCTCTGTTCACGTCTTTTGTGAACAGATGTTCCTAGTTTTTTTGTATAATCCTGTTTCCAGGATTATATCCTGGGAAAAGCTGAGTGAGAATTTGTAAAAGCACTTGTGAGCAAGGGTGCCCGGTGGTATTTAAAACAGGGGAGGCTGGGGGACGAGCTCAGCAAGCATGCACAGGCCCTGGGTTCAATCCTCAGCCCCAAAACAAAGTGAAACATGGTGCAAACTACTGAGAACAACCTAAGCACCTCCAAAATAATTACAGCAACTTCATAGAATTAAATACTTTGCAGCCACTGAAAATTGAAGCTCTGAGCCTACTGTGAGAAATGACACACAGCCTCACAGTGTCTGTAGTCTAATGCAGAACATGGAACACTTGATCCCGACTTAGGGTGATTTGATTCATAACTTTTGGACTTCATAATCAAATCTGGAATTTTGGCCTTTCCCCAGCTAGCAAAGTGCAGTCTGATCTCTCTTGTTGGCTGGGACACTGAGCCACTGCTGCCAGCCAGCCAGTCGATCAGGAGGGGAAACCACTGGCCCCACAGTGTGCCATGGGGTTATGCAAGGATGCACAGCAGGTATATTAAATGCATTTGCCTATGGTGGGTTTATCAGAACACAGTCCACCATCAGTCAAGAGCACCTGCATGCAAGTACACAGAGGAAACCAAACATCAGGTGTAATTACCATTGGGTAGTAAGATCATGATATATGGTTTTCAGTGGTTCTTTAGATTTCTGGATATCAGAATGGGGGATATACTTAGGGAGAACACGCAAAGTCCCCCTTGGATTTTGGAACCACACACCCCAGAAACAGGCCCCCCTGCCATCCCTGCTGCAGCTGGCTCACCTCTCTCAGAGTGGTCAGCGTCCTCGTGTGCATGGTAACCTGCTTGGTGAGGTCCCTGTTGTCCTTCTCCAGCTCCTTCAGCTTGCTGGCCGCGTCCCGGCAGCGGGCCAGTTCCTTGTCCAGCGCACGGCTCTCCTTCTCGGCTGCCACCAGCTTGGCAGTGCTGTCATCTAAGACGGCGTCCTTCAGCTCCACCTGCTGCCACAGCCGCTTGGCTTCCTTCTCCAGCAGCTTCTTGTCCTTCTCCAGCTGCGCCACCTCCTGCTCCAGGGCCTTTTTGTCCTTCTCAGCCATCTCCAGCTGCTTGTTGGTGAGCTGCAGGGCCTCCAGGTCTCGCCGAAGCGCCTGGTGCTCGGCATCCAGCTCGCTCAGCTCCCGCTCCAGAGCCTGCGACTTGTGGCCGCTGCTCTCTAAACTCTGCTGCAGCCGCAGGTTCTCGGCACTCACATTCTGGTAGCTGAGCTCCAGGCGCTCAGACTTCTTGCTCAGCGCCTTCAGTAGGTCTACGTTCCTCCGCAGCTCCTCCTTCTCGTGCTCCAGCTGCTGGTTCTCCCGCTCGATCTGCGCCATCTTGGCACTGGTAAAGCGCATGGTCTCCACCATCTTCCGAAGCTCCAGGTTCTCCTCATCCAGCTGCTTGTTGTCACGTTCCAGGCCCTCAAGCTGCACCGTCACATTCTGCAGGGTGTCCAGAGACTTCCTCAGCGTCTGGTTCTCCAGCTCCAGGCCTCGGCTTTCATGCTCCAAAGCCTCGACCTTCTCGGTGACTGTCTTCAGGGAACTCACCTTTTTGGCCAGCTGCTCATTCTCCTTCTCCAGCCGGCGCAGCTCCTTCTCCAACGCCTCTGCCCGCTCCCCCTTCTCCTTGGCCTGCTCCAAGTCCCTGTGCAGTTGTTTCTTGTCCGACTCAAGCTGGCTCAGTTTGCTGCCAGCCTCTGTCACCGCCTGGTGGAGGGCCCTGTTCTCCTTCTCGACATCCTTCCCACGAGCCTCGCTGCTGGCCTGAGACTTCTCCCGCAGCGACCACACAGTTCGGTGAAGGTGGTCCTTCTCCTGCTCCAGATCCTTGATCTATGGGGAAACACAATGGGCAGGACCCAGGATGCTGTGGAAACTGAGGCCAGGGATCTGGGCTTGTATTCTGAAGCAAAAGCACCCCAACAATTCCAAGGCCTGATACAGACCCGAATACAGACGTAAGTCCTGAGACAGCTCAGGTCAACATACACTCAGTCCAGCCAAGGTAGGCTTTAAATATAAGCAACATTCCTTCCCTCTCTCCTTCCCTCTTTCTCACTTAAAAGTTTTAGCCATTTCTCTTCATCTTTTTGTCATGGCCGTGGAAATCCAGTGACCAGGCCCTACCCAAATCTGCTGCCTCCTCTGAGGCCCACTCACCACGCCCAGCTTCTTCCCACCATAGACACTGCACAAGTTGAGTACTTTCCTCCAGACTTTAGCCTTGCGTGATGGCTCCAAGTGGGCCTGAACCCAGCAGTCTGCTCTGTATCTGCTTTTCACCTGACCACCATGCTTTTCACCTGGCAGTTTGCTGCCCAACCTGTCTTTCCGCTGTGTGTAGGACTGTTCCAACCTTCTCTGTGCTTTAGGTTGCTCTATGATACAAGCTGGACACTAAAACTCCCAACCCCAGTCTCGCTTACAGGCCAAAGAGCTGTGGGTCAGCTCTGGCCAGTGCATCACCTAGCTGGTCCTGGGAAGGGTGTGTCCCTGGGCTTCCCCACCCTCCAAGGTCTCAGCTGTGACAATGCCCATGAGTAGTGGGCCGGTCTGTGTCCTGTAGCTGCAGAACATTTAACAGCCTCTTTGGCCTCCAGGAGCAACAGGCCAGGAGTACTGGCCCCACAGCCTCCAAGTCCAACTCAGGACTGTCAAGCCTGCTTTCAGACCCCACCCATGTCCCTGGGCAGAAAGGCTGGTGTAAGCTGTCACTGAGCTGAGCACTCATTGCCCGCGGACCTGTGAGTGCTGCCAGGATTGGTCATTACCCTCAGCTCCCTTCTCGGAAGCAAGTGTCCCAGGAGCCAGGAGAGGCCTACCTGCCTGGCCTTGTCGGCCTTCAGGGCCTCCATGTCACTCTGCAGCTGTTCCTTCTCCCTGATCAGCTCCTCACTGAGGGTCTCCAGGTCTTGGTTGCTCTGCTTCTCTCTCTCCAACTGGGTTTGTAACTTTTCAATCTGCAGCCAAAAATCCCAGCCCCAGGCCCAAGTCAGTTTCAACACATGTGCTGCATGCAAAACACGACCCAAACCTCTCAGCCTCTTAGAACAGTGTAGGTATGATGCCTGTATCTCGAGGCACCTTCTTGGGTCCTGAAGAAGCTAATTGCAATGGGCCTCTGCTTGAGGAAAAGGTGCTGGCTTTGCTCTGCAGTAACCTCCTCACACCCTCAGCCATCAGCTCACAGCCCATGATCTGTGCGTTTTGTGCGGCACCACGAGCATGGTCACTCGGCACCTGACTGCCATGTCCCTTGCAGGACCCTGGGTCTCATCTGCCCCGGGGCTGTTCTGGGCCTTTCCCACACTCCCCAGGGTAACCATCCCTGGCCGCTGGAGGCCCTGCGGGGACTTCATGCTCACCTATTTCCCTATCCTCTACCTTGCCTTGGGGTGGGGTAGGGTGGTGACAGCACCCACCTCCTTCTTTGTCATCCTCTGTCACTTGCCTTTCCACCCACTGCACACTACCGCTGCCTCTGCTCTAGGGCACTGCATACACTGGGTTGGGATCCTATATAATTTCTGTCACCCTGGCACCAGGCTCTAATGCTGGACCCAGGTGTGCCTGGGCTCCTCAGACTTCACGGTGCAGCCGAGCCTCCAGGAAACAGAAGTGGCTTCTTTCCTCCAGCACCAAGTTCTCCATGTGAGGAACGGGCCCTGATGCTGGCCTCAGAGGAACAAGCGATCAAAGTCCACTCCCACCTCCTACAAGGCCATAGCAAATTTCTGTGGCTGACCATTGGGGCCAGCGTATTCACCCTCTCAGTCACCACACCTAAAGTGGCAGGCTGGGGCATAGTAGCTGACTTCTCCCTTGAGACCGAGTTGCATTTTATGTGGCTTTAGTGAACCAGGTGCTGCTGGCTGGGGAACACTGTTCTAAAATGATGGTCATGGTGGGGGTGGGAATGGGGTCACTCGGAGAGCTTGGATAAATCTCAGACTTCCTCTAGGGATAGGACCTGGTATGCCCAGGCAACATCCATGAATACCGAGGGCTGAGTCTTGCATAGCCCGGCATGTTAAGTCTTAAGCAGTTCTCAGGACCCTTGTCAGACAAGTCTGGGGCTCTTCTCCTTGGTAAAGAGCCACTTAGTCTTCCTGCCTGGGGTCTATTTAATTCCAGCCTCCACAATGGAAGCAGGCTATAGGGTCCATGGGGGGGGGGGGTGTTGAAAATGCACTATGCTGTCAGGGCACCAAGCCCTCACCCCAACCTGGGGGCCCCAAGGTTAATGTGCTTTACTCAGTGATCAGTATGGAGTTATAATCATGGGTGAGGGAGGCAGCTTCTCCAGGACCCAAGGAGGTGCCTTGAGATACAGGCACCATATATACCTGGGGAACTATGGTTCCTGTGGGCTCCTCAATCTACGCAAGCCTGCACTCTGGCTACACAGGGCTGCCAGAATGCAGCCGACCCCAGGGAGCACCTCCAGACAGAAATGCTAGTGGGAGGCCGAGACCCACCCCAAGGAAAGGAGAGGATGGCTGAGAGTAGGCTAGGAAAGTCAGGGTGGGCTCAACTGCCTCAAAGCCTCGGGGCTACGACCGCCTATTGGGGCTGCAGAGCTCATCCGCCAGACACAGCGAGCACCAATTACATGTCGGGCACACTGGACAGGGTCAAAAGAGGGAGACGTGCAGGGAACAAGACAACAGCCTCTCAGTCAGCTGGGCAGCTTAGCCAGGCCCAGGGCAGCAAGGAAGAAGAGGGATCCAAAAGCAGACAAGGAAAACCTCTAGCCTGGGCATAGTGACTGTCACAGATACTCCCTGCGCTCAGACATGGACTAGCATAGGACAGGTATGGTGTCAGGACAGGACACTGACCCAGAGAACAGGAAGCTGACCAGAGAAAAGGCAGGTGGCCAGGACCTGGGAGAATGGCAGGAGTCACGCAGGGTGGCAGCACATGCTGCCCATTCTTGTTTGTATAGAGAAGCAGCAGCAGGGGACAAGGGAGGCTGGTGCTACCCTTGGGACCTCAGGAAAGTGACCCATACTCTTGCTAGGCCAGCAAGATAACATGGCAGGCTTCCCACATCAGACATCACAAGGAGGGAGGCTCACCTTCCTAAAGATTAGCTCTTTTTGTCCTGGCCAAGGGTGGACTGCCATTTATGAAGACACTTCCTGTGCTAGATCCAAGTGAACCTAAGCCGCCAATGCATGCAGTTGTGCCAAACCAAAAGACCTGGTACAAGATGAGGTGTCTTCTTTTGTCCTACAAAGTCAGGACAAGCCCCAAGCAGCAAAAATGCTGCAGGGTGCACAGTGCTCCAAGGGAACACGAGGGAGCAGGGAGCTGGGCAGTCCTACGAGGGTCCCTGTCATGGTGGGCTGGGTGTGAATCAAGCCTGCACTCAGGTGAAGAACCAGCAGGAAGCACCTTTGCAGCCTGCGTCTCCTGCCCCTGCTGCCTCAACAAAGGAAAACTCCAGACTCACTCAGGAGCAGGCGAGATACTCAGCATCAAAGATGCCAGTCCTGCAAGGGCATCATCAACAAGAGCATTCCTGCCTTCTGCCTGCCAGAACCCGGTGTTGGATGCGTTCAGAATCTATGATGCAATACACCACCCTTAGGGCAAGTGAGAAGGACAAGCCCTGGGCTCTGTGCAGGCCAGCAAGCTCACCTTCTTGCTGAGCTGATGGTTCTCCTTCTCCAGCTCCCCACACTTAAGGTTGTTCTCCTCCAGGGCCAGGGAAGCATCCCGCAGCCCCTGTATGGTGCTCTGGAGGCTCTGGTTCTCCTTCTCCAGCTTCAGAATGCGGCTGGAGGCACATTCATTCAGCTCAAACACGAACGACTTCCTGGAGGCTGAAGCATCAAGTGGGTCAGAACCTGTGCTCTGGAGCCTCCACTTCCATTCTGCCTAGAACCCCAAACCCCAAGCCCAGGGAACTGGGTACCCACTTCTGGCTCCTCCACTCTCACCCCTCTGCTAGCTTAGCTGGATTCAAGGAGAGAGCAGGTTGTAGGGCAGGAGCCAATACAAAAGCTAACTTGCAGGAACTATTTGCTTACCAGGTTGTTAACCTGACTGGCCTCCTCAAGGATTGCAGGGGCCAGCAGAGAGGGCTAACAGGCAAAGGCAGCAGGCAGCAGGACTGCTCAGCAGGGAGGGCATATTAAGTGACCAGTGGTTCAGCTGCAGGAGGTGGAAAGCTACACTACCCAGCACTTGCCAGCCTGGGTGAGAACCCTGGCATGGACTTCTTGTGATTTTACAGTTACACTAAAGAAAAGTGAAAGTCTATGCAAATGCCTTTAAAAATTCCAAGTGAGATGGAAGTACAGGCAAAGAGGGAAAGTGTATGGTTTTAAGCAGCTAAAATGCAAGAAGTGAAGGGAACACAGTCCCAGGACAGGACCACAACAGGTGAGTTGGGGCTTTTGGGGAAGAAAACCTCGGGTGTCAAAGGCCTCTGCAGGAGGGATGGAGGCTGCTCCGCCCACCATGAGCTGAGCCTCAGCATACTACATTACTATGGGCAGAAAGGAGACCACGTGTCCCATTCTAGTGATGGTGCTCGCAGGTGAGCACACACGGGGCTTCACACTGATCATGCAACCCAAGAACCCTAATTCAACCTAAAACAACTCAACAAACTTAGAACCTTTGGTCACCTGGACAGTACCTCTGTGGCATCTGTGGTAAAAAAAGAAATTTTTTTAAATTGTGGTGAGACATACATAAGATTTAGCACATTAGTCATTTTAAATGTGCAGCTAGGACTTTAGTGACACTCACATGTCCCCAACCATCATCACCTTCCATCTCTTCCTCATCTTCCCAAACCAACACTCTACACCTGCCGAGAGCAATTCCTAGGCTTCTACAAGTTGAACAATGGAACTGATAACAAGTTTATCATTTAACAACTAACGGTTCTCCACTGAGCATCCTGCTCATCAGCAGCGCAGCAAGCAGATACGCTTTGATAGACAAGGACAGCTGCCCCTTTGCCCGTCACCAGGGCCAGGCAGGGGTGAGGCCTCCCCACCTTATCTCACCTGCACTCACAGATTCACCACCCTCATATTGCAGATGAGGAAACTCAAGTCTGAAGAAGTTATGTACTTGCCCTGGCTCAGCCCCTTACCACAGTGGAGGAGCCAAGACTTCCAATCTAAGTCTTCAGAAGTTACCCCACACACTCGGAAGTATATTCAGGGGGCTGGGGATGTGGCTCAGTAGTACAACATGTATTCAGCCTGCAAGAGGCCTTAAGTTCGATCCCCAGCACAGGGAAAAAAGTCTAAAACATACAGAGTCAGGTCTAGTGGCACATGCCGACAATCCCAGGTGCTCAACAGGCTTGAGCCCAGGTATTTAGGAACAGCCTGGACAACACAGCAAGATGCAGTCTAATTAGTAAATTACTTTTAAAAATTAAAAGAACAAATCTTTGGGCTTTTCTTGCACTGTCTTTCAAGTCAACATTATCACTGAGAATAAATCACAGTTACTGACCTTAAAGGGCTCACAGACTATACTGGAGAGTCCACTGGTGAGGCTTTCCTCATCTCAGAGCGGACCACAAACCCTGCAGACTGAGGCAGCACCATCACCTCTCCACACCACCAGGGGGCAGCAGCTCCTCACCCTGGATTTCAGAGGTAGGGACTCTGTGGCTCCCACCTTATGCAGTTCCCAGCCCCTGCCCAGGGCACCAACTGTTCAAGGTAACAGGCTACCAACTGAGTTTTGGTTTGGAATGCAGAGGAGTGAACACTCAGGGAATATGCCTCAACCTTATTGGTATTCTGAGGGATGTTTACCAGGATTTTAAAAAGCCACCACCAGAACAAGCCAAAAGCACCAACCACGCTCTGCAAGGCTATGTAAACATTCAGTCGAGTTACCAGGTGCACGGGACTGGTGAGTGGGTGCTATTTTCAAACACAGGAACCAGCTCATTGTTTGCCTGGGGCTGAAGCTTCCTGCTCTGGTGCTGACCCCCACCCTGCCTTTCCTACAACTGCCACTTCATCCAGAAGGCCAGCAGAGGGCAGCAGTGTGAGCCCAGGAGGGCTGGCCTGGCAGGTCACAGAGCATCCCTATCCAGGAGACAGATGACAGGCTGCATCCATCTTGCCCAATTATGCAAATGAACTGAGGAAGTAATGCCCAGGGTACATTTATAGCTGAGATTAGCGACCACTGGGGATTCTCCTGCCATCCAGACAGGCTTAAGATGTCCCCTGGGTGTTAGTGTGCTGGGATCTGGAAGCTCTTGAGTGGCCACGTGGGAAACCAAGTGGACCAGTAACACTCAATTTGTATTTTGTGTCCTGATGCCGAGTCTACCAGACCCCTCGTGCTCCCCTGGGGGAGACTGTAATGAAACAGTTCCAAGTGGCACTTGAAGGAAATTCTATTTACTTGGGGTGGATGGATGGGCCACCCTGAGGAAGGATTCCGTGCCAGCACTCGGCTCTCTGGGTTAGGGCGCAGCCCCAGTCCAGATGGCTGCGGGCACCAGGCCCTACCTACCATCTGACAGCTCTGCGTTCTTAGACAGCTGCTCCAGCTCCCAGCCCAGGTGGGCTGACTCGTTCATGCTCTGCTTCTGGGCAATCTCCAGGACCATGTTTTCTTCCAGTAGCTCCTCTATTCGCTTCTTATCTGTGTCTCGGTCCTAGGGCAGGAGAGGGAAGGAATGAGCATGGGCCTCTGGTCGGGGCCCAGCCCTGAGCACCCACAGCCAGCTGCTGAGGATGAAGGAACAGCATGTATCTGCTCACTTGCAGACAGAGCTGCACATCAGGGTGTCACACGGGCCCCACTATCACAGTGACAGCCATCAGAAGGTACCTCAACCTGGCACTTGCATTACAGAGAGAACCCCAACGTCTCTAACTGAATGGTGGTCATAGGGCTCTGGAGCAGGCACCTTGGTGACAGGCAGGTCTGTGGCTCTGGTACAGGTCTCCAGGATCTCAAAAGCTCTGAAGAGGCCAACATCCCTGCCCTGCCCACCATGGAAGCCCCAACAGGGGTGCCCATCCCTATAGAAAGCGATGCAGAAGTCAAGCCTGGCTGCTCCAAAGTGCCTACTCAAGCCCTTTGAGGAGTTCAGCAGCTACAACACCAGGAAAAGGCCTGGCCCACACCCCGCCCAGTGCTGTACAAGGCATCTGCACAGCTGCCAATACCAGTTCCAGGTCGTGCAGCTTGGATTTCAGCTGCAGGTTCTCCTTCTCCAGCTCGTGGACTTTGTCACCTCGAGCCCGGGCAGCGGTCAGCTGCTCCTCCAGCATGGCCTTGGTTTCAATTAAGATGATGTTGTCTTCTCTCAGCTCCTGAGGAACAGAGACAGAGAGGGGATCATCAGATAAAGGAGTGGAATTCACGGCCATAGGATCCTCGACCCAAGCTCTTTCAGACCTCTGGACCAAACCTCAATCCAGGCACAAGCCTGTGATAGGAAGCTCTGCCTCTGCTTTTTACCATCCTCACCTCTCTTCATGAAGCAAGGATGCATGGACTTTCTCTGCGAAAAATCCAGAAATCAAGAAAATATTGAACTTGGGGAAAGCAGGTCGGGGAGTGGCTAAGGCTTTGACACTGAGGACCTCACTTTGACAAGTAAGCTCTCAGCCAGGGCCTCTATAGTCTGTTTCCTCAACAAGTTGAGGGGAGGCTGAGGACCTATGAGGGGTCCCCAGGTCTGAGTGTGTTCCTCTCAATTCAACATTCATCCCACTAATCAGCATCCCGGAAAAAGCAGCCATTCAGGAGGCTTTCCTGTAGCATGCAGTTGCTACTTGAGTATTTTACACACGTACTCTTGGCCTCACAAAGTGCTCAGCGGTTTCCTGGAAATGTCTTTACAGCAGTTAAACCCAAGCACTGCGAATCAAGCAAGCACACGCCCCAGAGACCCGTGCAGCCCCAGAGACCTGTGCAGCACGGAGTCTGTGCCCCCCACTTCTGCATGCCCTCTCAGTTCCTCTCGTCCTGAGCCCCCAGGCCCATCCCACCCACAGACTCCAACATGGGCTGAGGCTAGGAGTTTCTGCTTGATCCTCTACACGCTCACAGCCCCCATTGGGCCAGAATCCAAGACTTTCAATGCAGGGAAACCACCTGCTTTCCAGTCAGTGGTCGAGGTTCTGATCAGAGCCTGGCAGCCAGGGACAGCTTGCTCACTGGGACTGGGCTCTCCTGCGTGCCCTCTCCCTGTCCATCCCCTACCCTCACTCCTGGTGGAGGCAGCCCCCAGGGGCTGGGGGACAACCTCCTCCTCCTGTGATAAATGACTGACCTGGGTAAGTTAAGGATCAAGTCCAAAGTACAAACCCACTAAGGGCCAAAGCTGAGCTTGCACTTGGGCCGAGAGCTCAGACTGACTCCTACACTACCCTCAGCCCCCTAAAAGCTATCTTGGGGGACTTGCATGAAAAAAGAGGCCTAGACTGCCACTAATGACATTGAGCCAGATGACAATGAGGGTTTCAAGTGGGAAGAAGGCCCAGCTGTCCGTCTCCGGTTGCTGCCTGCCCTGTTCTCGCCCAGCATCCCAGCAAGGTTTACTCACCACTAGCCAAGGCGACCACAGCATGGGCTGCCCCTTCATCCTCCCAGCCAACTCCTACTCAGCCTTCAAGAGCCAGCATGAGTTGCCCCTCTGAGAAGTGCTTAAGAATCCACTCCCTCCTAAAACTGAGTCAGGCATTTAGCCTCCCATGTTCCCTGGGCCTGCTCTGATGCAATGGTCACTGGCTGTTCTCTCTCGAGACCTCGGGACAGGACTGTCTCACTTCCCCTTTCAGGAGCCTCAGGAAAGTGTTCAGTGACACCTGTTGGTCAATCACACAGCAAGAAGGAATTGGGCGTGGCTTACAGGGTGGGCTCTGAAGGACTTTCAACAGGCTGGACAGAGGTGGCAGGAGGGGGACACAGCACTCAGCAGAATGATTCCTAACTGCCACCTGAGTCCTCCCCAATTTCCCTATGGTTTCAACTCCTTCTTTATCAGGCAGCAGAAATATCCCAACCTCCCAAAACACCTCACGCACCCAGGACCTCAGAGGTGACAGGGTGGGCGTGTAGGAGTGAGAAGGCCGTCCCACATCTCAAGGCTGCTGCCCACAGCCACCCGCCCACCACGTTCGATCCCAAGGGAACCGTAGCTGAAGTCACCCTAGCTTGAGCCATGCTTATGAAATCACAGAGCTTTTCGGCACAAGTCAGCTTGTATATGAAAGAGTGTGTGTGAGTGTGTGCACACGTGCACATGTGTATGTTTGCGGGGTACTGAGGACCAAACGCAGACCCTCTGCACTGGGCTACATCGCCAGTTTTTTTCCGAGACAGGATCTGTCCAAATCACTAAGTTGCCCAGAGTGGACTCACACTGCAAGCCCCTCACCCTGGCCTTCTGGAGTGCCAGGAAGGCAGGTGTGCAGCACCAAGCCCGGCTTGGAATCCACTTCTAATCTGCCACCAGGACTTGAAGGTCCGACCAGTTATGGGGCTCCTGGGATGACTTCCACATCTGCCATTGACTCTAGCTACAGGACCTCTCAACCATGATTTCCTCCTCCCTAAGAAGGGCACGAATACAAGGAAATGACACAGTTAGTTAGATAATGTGGTGTCACAGCCACCTTGAGGGCTGCAGGGCGTCTTTCCCTCCAGCACTTAGCCTCGGAGCACCCACCATGTTCACAGACAAAAACTGGTTGCCAAGGACCCCCGAGGTGTGGCTTGGTAAGACAGCACTTGCCTAGCATGCAGGAGGCCCTGGGTTCAATCCTCACTACAAAAAAGAGGGGGAAACTACTCTAAATTCAAAATATGGTATCCGCGGGGAACTCCCTGGCTCCCCAGCACCAAACACCAGAGAGGATGCAGAGTCAGAGAAACCGGTTCTCTCCCAGCAAGCACCAGAGCACAGTACCACGTGGGCTCCATGTGGCTCCGTGTCCAGTGACAGAAAGCAGGGCCCTGAGGAGGAGGGAGGGCCTGGTCACTAAAGTCAGGCCCCAAAACTCAGCCAGCTTCACAGAAATACCTTTCGCTCCCCCAAGAAACCCACCTGATTAAACACGGCCTGACCCAGGATCTGGGCCTGGCAGCACATTTCTGTAATCCCAGCACCTAGGAGGCCAAGGCAAGAAGATCACAAGTTCAAGGCCAGCCTGGGCAACTTAATGACTTAATGAAACCCTGCCTCAAACAAACAAACAAAGAACCATCAAAACCAGACATAAACATGGAAGGTTAGGTCTGTCCAGCTCAGCTGTTCCGTCATCAGAACTCCTGAGAAGAAACAGAGACAAACAGACACAAAATGTCCCACACTGAAGCCAGCCTCCCTGGGCTTGGGGTACTGAAAGTTAAATTCCCTAGACTGTAACACACCTGCTTACAAGTCAACAGCGGGAAGCTGGGGCGTCCCCCAGGCCCCTCTGTGGGACCACAGGGGCAGCGCACTCACTACACGAGGGCCCCCAGGTCACCGGCTCCCCCAGGCTCCTTCCCTGCACTGGGGTCTGGGGGCTGAGGATCAGGCTCGGTCACTGGCAGGCGGTCAGGGCCCTGCAGGCACCAGTGCATTCCATCCCAGTCCACCTGCTTAGCAACTGTGACACTGGGCGAATTATTAATTCATCTTAAATTTCTCATCTACAAAAAGCAGAGGAAGTAACTGTGACTGCCACGGCTTGCAGAGCCACCATGAGGTTTAAATTAAATGATTCCACTGAGCTCAACACGGCTCTTGACTCCACAAATAAGAGTCACTACTGCTCATTTAAAAGCCTCACTGAGCAAGCACCTGAGGCCCACACTATGCATTTTCAGCTCAGGTCACGGGCCTGTCACAACCACTCAGCCCGGAGAGGGAAGCACGGAAGCTCTCAGAGATAATGAATGCGTGTGGCTGTGTGCCAATAAAACTTTATGCATAAAATCCACTGGTGGGACGGTTCTGGCTTATGGACTGGCTTGCTGGCCACTAGAAAGACGACGAGCTGGGCACTGAGGATTGTAAGTCAGGAAGATGTGGACTCTGTCTTCGAAGCGCTCCAGGCCTGCTTGAGAGATGACAAGAAAACACCAGGACACTGTGTGCTGGACACTGCCTGAAGCAAGCAGGGGATTTCCAAAGGAAACATGAGGCCAGGGCCCACAGAGCTCACCGCCAGCCTTGCTCTGGCCTCCTGCTCCTGGGACTCCTGAGTCTGAAGGGGTGCAGGGAGGGTAAGCAGGCAAAGGAAACACCTTGCAAAGCTGCAGGGTCCTGGGGGAGCCAGCAGGGGGGCTGTGCTGGTGAGAGCAGCTCGTGAATGCAAATTCATCCCGGGAGCAGCCCAGAGGAGCTGGATGAGCTACGGGAAAGGCCACACTGGCTGCAGGACAGAAGGATGTGCAGGGGCCAGTTTAGATCCAGGGGCAGCGTCCCGTCTACAGGCACTGGAATAATCCAGCAAGCCCAGGACAGCAGGAGGCTGGGCATGTACACTGTGACATGCCAGGATGGGGTCATGTGTGGTGGGAGTGGGAGTGGCACTAGGACTGGTGGGACTGGACTAGGAGAAGGAAGAACAGAGTTGGTCAGAACTTTGGCTTAAGACCCTGAGCACGTGGACGGAGACTCCAGTGCAGAGACAGCATAGGCAGCTTTGAAGGTGAAATACTGTGTCAGATTAACCCTGAAGGTGCTGTGTAACATCCAGGTGGAGGGAGGCCTGGAGAGCAGGAGAGGGACCCAGCCTGATGATCAAGGCACTGGACTTAAACTGGTGAAGACTTCCTAAGCATCTTCTCCCCTAAAGGCAGCAGAGACACCCAAGAGAGCTCAGGAAACTCAGGGTAAAGGTGAGCAGACTGCCCCCAGGCCAGAGAGCCAAAACCACAGCAACCTCCCCACCCCATCCGGATCCCAGGCACCACTGCTGTCATACTAGGTGTGGCTTTAGTTTGGGGGTCAGACAGCCTGGGGCTGATGATTAACCCAGCCCTAACTGCTGGTGCTTTGCCAATGACCAACCCACCGGCTGTCTCCTCACTATGGGATCTGGTCCAAGGGTCCTTATCTCCTCTCACCTCCTGCATAGAGTAGCTGGCCAGAGTAAGTTCACTGCACATGCTCCTGAGCCCAAGAGGCCAGGGCATGAGGTCTTTTTTTTTTTGTCTTTTTCATTTTTATTGGTACCGAGGATCGAACTCATGACCGCCTGCTTGCAAGGCAGGTGCTTATGCCGCTGAGCTAAATCCCCAGCCCTGGCATGAGGTCTTAGTGCCACCCAGACCATGCCACTTCCTTCCACAGATGGGACAAACACAACCGACACCAGCAAATTGGTGTCTCAGCCAGGATTGTTCTTGCCAGGCTCTGGCCTCTCAAGTTGCTTATTTTGAATTCAGTGCTGCCTAGAAAGCTGTCAATCCACACAGGAGCTGGGAAAGACCCAGCTCTGGTCTGCTCTGCTCGGGATGCGCACAGCATCTGTGCATGTGCCTTTGGCCCTGTGGAGATTTTCAACCAGTCATAAAACACAGGAAAGAGACGCTTCCAAGCAATGGCTCTGCCTCCACCTCCTGCGTACAGCCTTCGGCCCAACCCTCTGACCTGGGCCTGCTGCTGTTTGCAAAGGGAAGCCAAGGGCAGCCGGGGACCCAGCTCATATTTCCTCCCATCCCAGCAACACCTATGCTGTGCCTATTTGTGTCTTTTCAACTCTCAGACCTCGAGACACCAAAATGCTGCCAAAGTTTAAACAAACCATATAAATTTGTATTCCATGTTTTTCTATCCAAAATTAACCTCGCCCTGACTGGGCCTTTATCATCGCCTCCCATGAAGCACCACCGAGCTGACCCTCCAGTGATCTGTACTGGGTGTTTCCCAGGTTCAGGCTGGGCAGAGCTCTCTGGGAGGAGAGGACTCTGGTTCAGTGTCCAGCCTGGGAGAGCTGCACGAGAGAATGGCCAAGCTGCCAGTTCTGCTCACCTGTAGGTCGCCTCTAACACCACACTACCACACCACTGGCTCCAATCTAGAGGAAATGAACCCTCAGGCCTCTCCCTGGCCTTCTCCCCAGATTACAAGACTCGACTGCAGAGCACTGGGCGCCTCTGCCGGATACCACAGTCCCTGGGGCTGTGTGGCAAGCTTCATGCTGACAGCTGAGAACGACAAGGTCCCCACACGGTGGGCCCACACAGAGTCATGCCCAGCCAACTGACTGTCCTGCAAGCCTCACCCCTGGCAGAGGGAATCCTGCAGCACAGAGCTCCTGATGAAAAGTACACCTGGTCCCGGTCTGGGAGAAAGGAAGGTCGCTGGGAGACAGCCTGCATAATGCAATTCCAGGGACTGCTCCCTAGGGTCTAGCGGGGCCAGGAACATGCATTCTTAAAAGGTGCTTTCAGCTGATTCGGACCACAACTTGAAAAACGAAGGGCTACAACTTTTGGAAGACGTTTCACAGATTTAAACTGATGAATCTTTTTAACTTTCCATAATTAAACTGATGCAGGCATGAGCCCATTCAAACCAGCTAATGCTGCTGTTGTCCTTTCACTTGGATCAATCCCTCTACCACCCAGTTTACTATGAAGAATACATGCTGAAACCAGGATAAATGAGTCACACACAGCTACCGCTATGCATACGCCACTTATAGTCTACCATCAACACTGTACTATTTTGCTTTGTCATGTACCCATCCACCTAGCTACCTGGATCCATACCCTCATTCTTAGACCCTCTCTAAGGTTTGCACATTTGCAACTCCCCCTTAACTCACAACACATTTCTGCATGCCACTGCATGCTTTAACTGCTTAGAGATCTCTCCGTCTCCATCTCCGTCTTTTCCGTCTCCTTCTCCTTCTCCTCCTTCTTCCAGGTACCAGGGATTGAACCCAGGGCCTCACACATGCTAGTCAGGTGTTCTACCAACTCAGTACATTCATAGCCCTTTTGCAAAACATTGTACTTTGAGACAAGGCCTCACTAAGGAACCCAGGCTAACTTCCAACTTGCAATTCTCCCATCTCAGCCTCCCCAATAGCTGGGAATACAGGTATATGCCACTCTACCCAGTGCTTCAAAATTATAATTATCACACAATGGAAATGTGTGCTACTATACTATGAAAGAATCTGGGGGACTGGGGATTTAGCTCAGCGGCATAAGGGCCTGCCTTGCAAGCAGGCAGTCATGAGTTCGATCCCCGGTACCGATAAAAAAGAAAAAGACAAAAAAAAAAAAGAATCTGGGTTTTCATGTTAAGTTGGATACACTCATTCAAACATAAACATGAACCCATCAAAGTCACTTGTGCACCAAGGCAGTGCAAGCCTCTTGACATGAAGCCCACTAAACACCAGAGACTGGGCCCAGGCTACTGCTACTGGGAGACAAAGCCCCCTCAATTCCCCCAAGACCCAGATAGCAACCAGACCTCATGCCAAAGCAGCTCGTCTCCAGATCATGCCTAAGTGCTCAGGCTGGCAGCCAGCCAGGGTAAGCCTGCACTCCTGAACTTGCCCTCTGCAGTGTCTGAGAAGCCAGGTGCTCACAGGTGTAGCAGACTCACTGTTGTTCAAAGTGAACTGCAGGACAGAATTCACTCCACAAGCGTTTCTCCAACCCCTCTAGTGCGGAGTACATGGCTGTGCATGTATGTGTTCCAGATACTGAGAACAACACAAACCAGACTTGTTCCAGGAGCCTATTCCAGTGGACTTGGGGGTGTCACCTTCACCAGCCTATACCAGTGCCCACTGGAGTCCCACAGCAGGGGAGAAACGACACTGACACTGTGCTTCCCAGGCCTGATCAGCTGCCTCAGAGATCACGTGGCTAGACGAGCTGTCGGGATTATTCCTAACATCAAACAAGTCCCCTTTGCAGGTGCTGATGCCCCCATCTCTCCCAGCTCCCTTCTGGGTGGAATCGAGTTCACACAGGGAACCAGCACCACTTCCCAAACTCTGGGAAGTGTAACAGGGACCAAACCTCCAAATCCTTGGGAAAGTGGGTCCTGGAAGCCATAGGTGACACAAGGCCACTGGGATGAATGGTTAAAGCATCAAGGATCTCTCTTGGATCTCAATCTCAGTCTAACTCTGACTCCTTCACCTGCATTGACCCAGGTACAGTGAGTGGCGTGTACCTGTAGAACAGTACTTGGGTTGAGACAGAGGCAGGAGAATCCCTTGAGCCCAGGAGTTCAAGACCAGCCTGGGCAACACAGAAAGACCTGGCTCAAAAAAATACAGGAATAACATAAAACAAAAGCTCTTGGCAGAGCTTCTACTGGGTGAGGGTGTACTAAGTAACCTGTCTCTACACCAGTTACTTCTCAAGGATTTCACCCCTTTCATCTTGAGAACTTTGGGAGTATTAGCATTCCCATGTTATAGATCAAGGAACTGAGTCCTAGCAAATTAGCCCAGAAATTGCAAGAACCTTTAAACAAAGCTACAAATGGAAGACTTTCAATGTGGCATGAAGCAGAAGAGCAAACCCTAAAAGAAACCAGTGCCCTTCACCAACCAACCACATTCCTTCCCTCATCCACTGACACTTCAAGATGGAAAAGGACCCAGAGGGAGGCCAGACAGGCAGCCATGCAGGGAAGCACCCCGTGAAGGCTCATGGCTCCTCCCAATCCTCCAAGGACGCACAGCGTCAGAAGCCCAGGCCAGGGTGCCTACCTCCATGCGGGCCTTGTAGAAGTCCACATCATGCAGTTTCTCCTTGCAGCGAACCAGCTCCATCTCCAGCCTCTCCACACGGTTTGCCTTCTCCCGTAGGGAGTCCAGCTCGTCCCGGTAGGCACGGGCAGACCGGGCATCGGCTGCCAGCTGGATGTTCTACAGGGCAGGCAACGGCAGTGAAGACAGCTTAGGGAGTCCCTCTGGGGAAGGGACACCCCAGGAAAAGGCAGTCCAGATGGCTGAGGGTCTTCTGAGGGTGTCACTAAGAAACATGGCCACCTCGAGGGAGTTCACAGGACCCCCTGGCACTTGGGCAGCTCTGTGGGGCATTCCTGGCCCTCACTGAGGCATCCCAGCCTACACAGGCTCCTGCTCACCTCCTGCTTGACCTTCTGGAGTTCCAGCACGAGCTGGTCCACCTCGTGCCTGGTGTCCACGAGCTGCTCTGTCTTCTCCTCCCTGCGGAGCAATCAGGAGGGAAAGCTTCTTTGCAGGCCCTGGAGAAAGGCTACCACTCCCAGGAAAAGGAGGGAACCCAAGTTTTGGGGTTCTAGGATCAGATATGCCTTTGGGGCCCCCATAAATGTTCTCTACTCCAAATACTTTCCTCTAGTTTCTAACAGTTGCCCGCAAACCACTACCACCTGCCGGCCAGGTTTCCCTGTGAGTATACAGAGTAGGTAAGAAGAACCTGGCTGTGGCTCTAGCACTCCATAGCTGGGCTTGTGTGGGATCAAGGATGAGGAGATGAAGGCAGGCAACTGCCCACTGGATGGGTAAATAACATTCACCAGCTGTAGGAAAGAAAAGGACCAGCTCCCAGGATAGGGCAAGGTGCCTCCTCCCTCCACCTGAGAACAGCTATCCCAGCTCCAAATTGGGCCCGGGTGGGGCAGCTATCTCCTCTGGAGGCAATCTATAACGGTTGGGAGCCAGAAGCCAGGGAGAAGCCCTGCTTCCACGCAGGCCCCGAGGAGGTCTTCAGTCAGTCAGCAAGCTGGAGCAGCCCCGCCAGGTCCAGGGCCCTCCTGTTTGTGGCACTGCCTGTGCAAGCTGACTGCACACCAGAAACAGGTCTGCAGCCACCACACAGAAGCAGGAAAAACAGCGGGGCCACTCACAGGTCCTGCCTGACACGCCGCAGCCTGGCCTTGGTGTCGGCCAGCTCCACCGCCAAATGCTGCTTGTCCTCACTGGAGAGGCTGCTGGTGGGGCTAGGCGTGGAGTTGCTGCTGGAGGACTTGACAGGGCTGGGTGGGTGCTGCGCCTGCAGGTAGTCCCGCTCCTGCGTCAGGTCCACGATCAGCTGCACCGGCAGACAAAGGGCAAAAGAAGAAGACACACAGGCTCATTAGGGCACCCCGGGGCCCGCACTGTGCCACCCAGAGAAAGGAGATTTCCGCTGAGACTCAGAAAACGGGTGAGGCGTTAAAGGGTAGTTCCATGTTTTCAAAAAGGGGTGAAATATTTAGTGGAATAAAAAGAAGTGACTGCATAGAAGAGGAACCCTGAGCCTGGCATCCTGATGATTTCTGTCCTGTGGATGTCTCTGCAGTGACCATTCACCCCAGAGGCTGAAGCCAAGGAGAGGACCCATTTCCCGCCTCCACCAGACCCTGATCAGCAGTACAGGGAGGAGCTGCAGCCCAAGGTAGAGATGGGAAGAGATAGAGGGGAGTGTCCCCAGTCCACCCCAGGCTGCCACACACCTCAGTGCACTCATCCCGCTCATCGATGAGCCTGCGGAGGTGGAACACCATGCTCCGGGACAGGGCCTCCAGCTCCTCCGGGGCCACGTCTGGAAGCTCCAGCCACTGCAGGTCGAACACGTTCTCCTGGTTGTGGGTCACCTGCAGGCACAGAGTCAGCACTGCAGACGCCAGCGCATGTGGCCCTGGGCTCTCCAAGTGCCTCTCTGCCCACGACCACTGGGCAGGAGATCCAAGCAGAGATCAGAACCTGCCTTGCTGGGACATGAGACAGCACCTCAGTCGTAAGACATTATTGATCCCAGATTGGCTGATACATTTCCTGTGGCGAGCAGAAAGGCTCCTTCAGCATGTTTAGGCAAACTTCAGACAAGCACCACTAACACAAGCCACTTCTGTTCACAAGTCTTTTAATAGCAGAAAGCACTTGCCTTCCACTCAAAGGTCCCAGGATAAGATATTTATTTGCATTGGAGCTATATTCATTTGTAACACAAAGAAGACAGGCATCTGGAAAGGATGAGTAATAATACTAACATTTCTTTTTGCTTTTTTGTTTTCTGTCTTTTTGAGGCAGGGTTTCATCACTATGCAGTTCAGGCTGGCCTTTAATTCACCTTGTAACCCAGCTTGGCCTCGAACTTGTAGTGATCCTCCTGCCTCAGCCTCTCAGGTGTTGGGATTACAAGCGCATCCTATGTTACAATGGTGGGTACTTAGTGATCCTAGGTTCTGTAGGGGGAACTGTTCAAAATCTAAAGCAATCTTCAGGAAAGCCCCTAATTTATTCCCACAAGCCTCAGAAGACCACCTGTCCTTTCCTGTCAGCAGGGATGGAGGATGTAGTGAGTTCTCATCTGCTCACTTTTGGAAGAAAAATATTATAATGTTCAGGCCTCAACCAGGAGAAACAAAATCAAAGAAACCAACATATCTGCTCAGCAAAGCACTCCAGAAGAAAAAAATGCTTAAATTATTCAGAGCAGTAGATGGAAATATAAAAAAAAATTTTTTTAAAAGAAGAAAATAAATCCAAAGCACCAAAAACAAAGACAAGTTTAAGAGTCATTCAGTTTCTCCAAAGACACCACCCTCTTTCTTCTCTTCCTTCAGAGACATAGACAAGGGACAAGTCTGGACACAAGTGACCCTGAATTAGAGGAAGATGCATCCCGTCAAACAGGTGGGAGCCAGGGTTCTGAGGCTGGGTTCTGGGCCTTCTCCACATGTGGTCTGGGGAATTGAGTCTTAGGACTGGGCTTTGGGGAGTCAGTGCCTGTGTCACCTGTGGAGCTTTTAACTGAGGTCTGCTTTCCTTTTCCCCGCATGGGTCTGGACACCTGAATTTTTAAAAAGCATCCAGTAAATTATAAAACTTGTCTCCAGTGCCTGCACCTGAATTTAACAATCATGCAGAACTCTCCTGGCTATGTTCTTTTTATTTATTTCAATATCTCACTGTCTGGGCAGGCAGTAGAGACACTGAATGGCAAAGAACTGATTAATCTCAAGGACTTCATCCCCAAGCAGATACACACTGAAAAACACAAGGAAATGAAAAGGCAGAACGCATCTTAGGCCAACTGGTGGCCAGTAATGGTTGAGAGTATTTCCTGAAGTACTGACTTCGGCTGGAGGCCGGCTTTGAACTGGGACTCCGAACTCATCAGCCTGTACTGCTCCAGCCAGCTAATGGAAGCTGATGGCCTGGTCCCAGCCCTTTCACCTGCATCCTCTATAAGAACTACACATATTCAGCTGCTGCTGCCAATCACACACCAGCTCTTGTGTGTCTTTGCATGCATTTGTTTCTGTCTAATTAGACTGAGCGCTGAACCCCCAACAAGATGCCTAAGATAAACACTGATTTTCAGGTGAGCTCATCTGCCGAGGAAGCCACCTTGGGCAGAAGATGATCTGACTCCCCCACTTCCCCCGGGGCCTGAGTCTGGGATGGGGTTGAGTTCCCTAGGGCAGCCTTCTCCCAGGCCTAGCTGGTTTTGATGTCCCACGAGGTGGCAGACTGTTTCTCTGTGTGTCACTGACAGCAGCAGAGAATCTCTATAAAGATCAACTCGTTCGGAACACAGTGACATTTGCCAGAATACATTTTCAGGGCCTGTAAATCAAATTCTGAGCCTAAACCATTTGACAGCTCTTAAAAATAGTCTGAGTCCATATAAGGCAAGGAAAAGGAGGCAGAAGATGGCTTGATTGAAGTATTGTATTTTTTTAATTTTTATTTTTACCCTTATTTTATTTTAGCTCACTGAGGGCTACCTTTCCGAATAGAATCCATTTGTCGGTAGTCTCTGAAACCTAAAATTAGCAAAAGCATTCATAGGCAAGGTGTTTTTCAACTTTTCCACCACCACAGAGATGCTGCTGCCTGCCCACCACAGGAGCGGGTCCATGGTGGGGCTCCCGAGGGTACCTACCTCCTGGATGTGAGCCACGATGCCCGCCTGGGTCTCAATGTCCAGCTGTTTGATTCTTTCAATGAACTCCTCTTTCCTCTCACACTGTGAAGGGTTACAAGTGTCAATGAGAGCATTCTTCAGTAAGGGTGCACCTGGGGCTATGCCCACAGTCCCAAGATGAATGCCCACCCAGGCCTGGCCTCCTTCCCAACCAAAACCACCCTGTCCCCCAACCAACGCTCAAACTGAGGCTTCTCTCAAAGTTGTTCCAACACCCAAGGAGACTGTTTTTCAAAGCCACCCCAAAGCCTCTCCCAGATGGAAAACATGGGGGCGGGACCCTATAGTGTGCACTTCAGACAAGCTCTTCACAAGGCAAGATTCTTACACACTAAGGATGCAAATGACTGGCCCCAGGGAGAGGCAGAGCCAGGCCCACTCCATCACTCCACTGGAAAAAGGTCACCATTTTAGACTCTGCATTTAGTCTCTGGCACAACTACGAGACTCTGCCACTTTATGCAAAGGGTGGGACATGGCTAGGTTCCAATAAAACTTTATTTACATGAGCAGGAGGCAGTCAAATCTGACCCACAGCCTGTGGTTTGTATCTCTTTGTTCTAGAAAGAGGTTCCCACAAAGGGGACAATTTGCTAATGGTATTGTGCCCTAAGGGGCCTGCCGCACAGGGTGTCCTGGTATTAGAAACTGTCCCCTAAGAGAGGGACTGTTCTTTCCTGGATAACCCAGCACCTCTGTTTCAATGACCTGAAAGTAGCTTTACTCCCACCCAAGCTAAGGGTGCCACTTAGCCGCACAATTCCAAACGAAGGCCCTAAGGACAGGACTTTCTCCGCCGTACCCAAGCCCTACCTGGACAGCACAACCCAGCACCAGCAGCAGCACCTTCTTAATCTCTTCCATGCTCTTCCCTGCAGCAAAACAGCATATTTAATTAAGCTCAACCATTTATAAAATTTCCCCCAATGACATGTTTGTGCTAAGGCGAAAACGAATCCCATAAATTAAAGAAAACATTCTCTCTATTCAGTCTGCTGGAGTTAGGTGTGCACACTCCACCTTTATGCTATGTGTGAGTTTATTTTATTTTTTAAAACCAAATGAGCGTTCTTCGCATAACCAACAGAAGCCCTTCCCTATTCAAGTGTATCAGAACTATTTCTCCATGATAATTAATGAAGTGTGACATCCGCAACAGTTTTTAATGTGCACGGTACAGGAGAGAAGAATCCCCCCCCAGGAGAGACGGGGTCAAGTGTCTACTGCACTGTGTTTTATCAGTCAAAATTTCAAAGGAGCCGAACACAGATTAATGAGCCCCCAGGTACCCTTGACATCACACTACCCACGCTTTACACACCTAAGTGCATCTCCATTCCCCTGGTCCCTTGCTGCTTTTGAGTTTCACTGTTTGGCTGGAGGACACTAAACCAAAGCAGGCGACATTGACATCATTTTTGATGGCCAAAACCTTACAATCAACTCTTCCAGAGGTTTGTGTTTTTGTTAGTTTAATCTAAACTATGCTATAAAGAATGCATCACCATGAGTTCGGCTAATTCTTTTTTTTTTTTTTATTTAAGAGGAAAAAGAGAAAAACACAAAACAAACCAAAGTGGTGCGTTCGGCTAATTCTTTACACACGCTCAATCGCTTTCTCAGAACAAACTCTTTTTCTTATGCTTCTCATGTGGCCAAAATTGCCTTATGGTCAAATTTTATCTTTTTCTTCTGGTTAAGAGGTCATAATTTTCATTGTCTCACCCTTAGAACACTTATTATTCTCACCCTTAGAACACTTATTATTCTTCCTTATTGATATCACCAATCTGATGCCAAAAATCGTATTTCACCATTTTAAGTAGTTTGACTTTGATAAGACTTCAGGCTAAATGCACTGGCATCTGTTCATCTGTCTCAGTCTCCCACAGAGTCGGAAAGCCTGGCCTCCAGAGCCAGCTTGGCCAAGCAGGAATGGGGCAGCCTGGACCAGGACTCTTTCTCCTACCCTCAGTTTTCACATCTATAAAATGGTGGTGGAGGTATGGGGCTCTCTTTCAAGGCAGGAAAAAAAATTACGATTTGTCTTTTTCCTCTATTCTGTTGTATATGGCGGAAAGGGAGGACACCAAAAATAGCATCCTTCTCTGGAAAGACCTAGAATACCCACTCAACTGTGCCAAATTGGCCCAAAGTATTGATCTGAGGTTGCTAGGATATAAAACCAAACTTCTGGCCCAAGAGCTTGTGTCACAGTTCTCTCCGGACCCTGGGGAATCCCTGCCTGAGTGCACCTTCTTCTCCAACACTGCTGAGTCACAGAGTGGGGGTGGGGGTGCACAAACCAGAGCCACAAGGATTCCTGGCCTGAGGTGGGGCTGCACCACAGGGTCTGGGCCACACCCCTCCACTCTAGGACACACCAGAGCTCCCCTGTGTTGGTTAGTACACAGCAAATGCACTGCAAGTCCCATAAAGACACGAGACTGTTATCTGTGACTGAAAATAAACAAACATAAAAAGCAGGAAAGCATGCTGGAGAACCCTACTACTAGCAACAAGAACCAAAGCTGGTATTCCGACAGGAAAAGGAGACCAGACCCCTGCGCATGTTTGAGGGTGGGGAGCCACACGGAGGCACTGCTCCCCCGTACCTGCGTTACCGCAAGGATACCCTGAGCCCTTGGCTCATCCAAATGCCCCAGGCATCAAGGAAAAGCCGAATCTGACCCAGCATGCTGTTAGAAAAGGAGGGGTTCCTTTTGCAATGCTATGGGGGTGGGGGGGCACTAAAGGTCAAGAATTAAATTTAGAAAAATCTTTATGAAAAAACAAACAAGGATAAAAAGGGTGCTTCAAATGCAGGGCCTTGCTCCTCTCCCCTGGTCTAAGGGAATGAACACTTCCCTCTAACACCCATACCCAACACCTCGATCCCCGCAGGGCAGCAAGCAGCAGTTCCCTCCTTTCTCATGAGGAGCCGAGACCCAGTTCCTTCCTGGATTTCTGCAGCAAGAACAGTTACTCTCACTGATCTACCTTGCTGTGGGTTTTGGATAGTTTCAAACCACACAAGAGTCTCCTGGGTTCCTGCCAGCAAGACCTGCTCGGCATCACAGTCAAGCAAGCCACAAATCCCTCCCTGCCAAGCACCTACTGTGTGCAGGGCCCTGAAGCACGAACCCTGCCAGGAGGTTTCCGAGTTTGTGCTGAAGGATCGAGCAAGCCTGTCTGAGAGAAATGACTGGGCTGAGACCTTGGGATAAGAAGAACCGGCATTGGAGGCCAGGGAAAGCATGGGCAAAGGCCTAGGCAATAAGCAGGCGTGGGGTTTCTCAAATCATAAACGCTTTGTGGTTAGGCTTCCTGGAGTGAGAAGCGGGTGGGGTTAAGAAAGGATGTGGATTTTGATGGCAAGTGAGTCACCAGATACTGGGGTCTGAAAACATCAGACAGCCTCTGCAGCTGCACAGGGTACCTAGTGTAGGGGAACCCCTGGGGTATCCCAGACAGCCTGAGTCAAAGGCTAAATCTAAGAAAAGCCTCACTACCTGCCTCCCTGAGTTTCTCTGACAAACCCTGCCCAGCCCAGCCCTCGGGGCATGAGGAGAAGCTGCTCAACACCCAGCTTGTCTAGCAGGCAGAGAAGCTGATCTGAGAGACACTTTCAGGAGACAGGTATCTTCAGCGATGGCCTTGGCTCCCAGAACGGAAGGAAAACTGTGAAATCACTCTCCTAGCAAAAGGGTGGCCTCAGGGACAGAAACGCAGCTGGGGAATTATGAAGTGCACCACCCTCTAATACACAGGAGCTGGATTAAAGCAAGATTGAGAATCCTGGTCTTTCTAGTGCTAACTATGTGACAGACGAGGTCAGTGACACCTCCCTGTTACTCAGTGTGGAACTGGGCCCACTCCTGAACACAGAACTCACTGGATGTCAGCACACTCAAGGAAAACTGCCTCGTTCCACTCGTGCACGATCTCCCAGGTTCCTCTCGGCTCTACTCTTCGACTGTTTATTAGTACGCGCGTGTAGTACATGATGACTGCATCCATTGTGGGGAGTCGGTACATGTATGTAACATACCTCAGTTCTTTATAGTCTCCTCACCGGCAAAAGCACTCTCTGCTTCCTATTATTTACCTAAATGATTTATACGTTGGGCTTCTCATACATGAAAACAGCTCATGGAACATCTCTTTGGTTCTCTTACACAGCTGTTTGAATGTTCCTGGTTTATGACACAGGAAATAAATTCTGTCAACTTGTTGCACGCAGCTGAGTTAGACAGAAATACTATAGACAGTCAGACAGGGCTGGGCCCTCCAAGGAGTAGTGCAGAAGACCAGATATCTAGCAGCCTTGGAGGGAACAGAAGCCTCCAGTTGTGGGCCAGATTTTGAGACAAAAGATCAAAGAAACACACCCACATCAGGGATTGATATTCTAACAGGTCTCTATCACCCTGAGGAAGCCAGGAGTCACCACTCCAAACCCTTCCAGGGAGAGTCACTGTTCCATATTCACTACACTAACTACTTTGACTCATTTCCCCATTCGTCCCTGATTTAATCAATTTTAAATGAGCAATTAATCTTATTGGCTGGCCATAGCTCTGCCCCCACCTCATGCCCACCTTGCTAGTTCCCAGTCTTCCCCACCTTGGACCTGTCTCACTTCATGGTTTTACTCTATCAAAGTTCCTAGAAAATGCAGTCTGGCAACCCATTTGAGACCCCTTCTGTCTCTCCCTGACGTAAGTTTTGTTTCTCTCAATAAATACATTCTGCTCTTAACCTCCATTGCTCCTAAAATTTATTCTTTGATTTTAGAGAACACAAACTCATACCGGACATCTAGTAGGTTGGGAATTCTGTTCCCACGAGGGAGCCCTTCCTGCCCCAAACCTCAGCGGTCTGCCCTGCAGAGGCAGGGAAGGAGGCTCCATGCTGATCTGACCTACAGAGGTCAGAGAGCTGATGCTTCCTCTTGTTAAGCTCAGGACTGACACCAGGCACACCTGGAGGGCCTGAGCCACTGGACAGCAATGAGCTGCCTGCCACCCCACAGTCCTGGCGCCTCCACTCAGCACACCACCACCCCATCTCACCTCAAAGTTATCAGAAAGGGCAACACTGTTTTCTTCATCTCACAAAGAACACAGCTTAGAGAGGCCAAGGCACAGAGCAAAGATTTGGTCCTGGCTACCACCTACACCCTCCCTGCCCCCCAACAACCTGTGCAGTATTTCACCAGTGTTTACTGACTGACACTAACAGTTACCATCAAGTACCCAGGATATCAACGCATTTCAGTTTCCTGTCTCCAAGGGAGACGGACAGCAGGGTTTTTCTTAGTAATTCTACATTCTGTCGGTTGACTGACATGCTAGGGTGGACCACCACCAGCACTCCCTGGTTTTCTGTTTAAAAACCAGTCATTTCCTAACCATGAGGATGGGGCTGTCCCACAGATGGACAAGCAGCACTTTCGACATGACTACTTCTCTCTGTGAACAGGGACATCTCAGACACGCTCTGGGCACTGCCCTCTGGCCCCTCCTGGGGACTCCACTTACCACGAGATCACCTTCCAGAGCACTGCTGAGGAACAGCAAGCGCAGAGGATTCTCTGTGAGTGGGCCCAAGGGGACTCCCCATCACCTGTGGCCCAGTCACTGGGCATGAGGTGGGCCCCTGCATACTGGTTCACATTCATTCTGAGGCAGAGTGGGGGACACCCTGTGAAGCTCTCACCCAGCTTCCATACACCCAGAAGTTACCACATGTGGCCCTCATTAATGCAACCAGGTACTTACCAACTTGTTTAATTACTCAACAAACAACAGGTGTGGACAAGGGGGCACGGAGCCACATGCTTGTGAGAAATAATGCAAGGGTCTCCCAA